ACCATATTGAGATACCACCTCACACCCATCAGAATGGCTAAGATTAACAACTCAGGCAACAGCACATGTTGGCGAAGATGCAGAGAGAGAGGGTCTCTTTTGCATGGCTGGTGGGGATGCAAACTGGAGCAGCCACTCTAGAAAACAGTATGGAGGTTCCTCAAAAAAATTAAAAATGGAACTACCCTATGACCCAGCAATTGTGCTACTAGGTATTTACCCAAGGGATACAGGTGTGCTGTTTTGAAGGGACACATACCCCCCAGTGTTTATAGCAGCACTATCGACAATAGCCAAAGTGTGGAAAGAGCCCAAATGTCCATCGATGGATTGAATGGTTAAAGAAGTGGTACACACACACACACACAAATGGAGTACTACTTGGCAATCAAAAAGAATGAAATCTTACCATTTGCAACACATAGATGGAACTAGAGGGTATTATGCTCAGCGAAATTGGTCAGTCAGAGAAAGATAAATAGCATGTGACTTCACTTATATGAGGACTTTAAGATATTAAACAGATGAACATAAGGGAAGAGAAGCAAAAATACTATAAAAACAGGGGGTGGGATAAAGCATAAGAGACTCATAAATATGTAGAACAAACAGAGGGTTGTGGGAGGGGTTGTGGGAGGGGGGATGGGCTACATGGGTGAGGGGCATTAAGGCATCTGCTCCTGAAATCACTGTTGCACTGTCTGCTAACTAACTTGAATGTAATTTAAACAATGAATAAATTTTAAGAAGCAAACAAAAATAAAAAATAAAAAAGTAAGCTGCAATCAATCAATCAATCACAAAAGTGCTTTGAAAAAAAAAAGTCTAAAGCTGGACATGGCCGTGGCACAGCCCCCTGACGTCAGTCACACCTGAGCCCGTGTGAACTAAGAGTCTGGAAGCCCAAGGGTATGTCGTGGTCAAGGCCAGGGTCCCTGCACCACTAGAGGCTGACCCATTAAACCATCAGGACAGTGTTTCCCGGTCACACAACCAAACAAGGACAGAGGCCAGTGACAGCGGCCGGCGGGAAGTGCTGGGCTCCTGCGGGTGGGTGGGGGCGATCGAGTCAAGTGTCTAACTGGAAAAACAGATGATGACATTTCTACCCCGAAGTCTGGTCCCATATTTAGACATGTTTAAAGAGACATGGTTTGGGGCGCCTGGGTGGCTGAGTCAGTTAAGCGTCCGACTTTCGCTTAGGTCATGATCTCGCGGTTCGTGGGTTCGAGCCTCGCGTCGGGCTCTGTGCTGACTGCCAGCTCAGAGCCTGGAGCCTGTTTCAGTCTGTGTCTCCCTCTCTCTCTGACCCTCCCCTGCTCATGCTGTCTCTCTCTCTCCTAGAAATAAATAAAAAATATTTTAAAAAAATAAATAAAAATAAAGAGACATGGTTTATAATGCCATGTTTGTACTTCCAACTTGTCCTCAAGGAACAGTGACAAATTTAACACAGCCCCGTGCCCAACGTGGGCCCCAAACCCTGATGCAGCCGGACGAGGGCATTTCCTCTAAACTGTCTGTGGTCAGAACCACACTGGCACAGGAGATGGGAAGGGGATGAAAGTATCTTTATGTTTGTGTTTAGAAAACCACTTTGTTTTTTTTAATTGATTTTTTAAGTTTGAGAGAGAGAGAGAATCCCAAGCAGGCTCCACGCTGTCAGCACAGAGCCGGACACGGGGCTCAAACCCACGAACCTTGAGATCATGACCTGAGCCAAAGTCAGACACTTAACCGATTGAGCCCCCCAGGCGCCCCTAGTAAAACAGGTTAGGGAGACTTTCTGGCTCTAACACGTAAGGGCGATCTCCCCCCCCACAGGCCCCCAGAGAGCCGAGTAAGAGGGCTCTGATCAAGGAGTTGAGGGGAGTGGACGGCTGGCCCAGAGAACAGGGCCTAGGGGGCTGGAGGAGGGGTGAGCTCAGTGTTGGCGGCGCGTGCAGCAGATGAGGGCTTCCCTACAGCAGAGGGCCAGGCAAAACCAAGCCCTCGGCCCTTCCTGAGACAGGCATAAGAGCAAAATGATAATTGTAAGGACAAAAAAAAAAAAAAAATTGAGGCTTAATTCTCCCTGTTGAAAACAAGAGGCTCCTCCACTGTTCCCTGTCTGAGAGCCCCTCTGTTAGAAAAGCTGTCAGTATAAGTTCCTTCTCTGTCTCGGTAAAGAGCATGGAAATCCTTCTAGAAGCTAAACAAGCCTCTCGTCAGCTTTACGATCTAGGAACGTCTTTCCCAAGGACCTGCGAGCCACCTCTTTGAAATGTCAACATCAAAGGAGATAGCACCCCTCTCTTCTGGCTTCTGTGGGAGGCTAGAAGCCTGACTTGGGGAGGGGGGAGGAGGGCTCCTTGCTCCAAGTTGCAAAATCACATCCAGATGCAAGGACTCTGTCTCCCTCACAACGAAATCGGGGAGTAACACAGAGCACCATCAATTACCAGGTAGACTTAGGATGGACAGGGTGCGACAAATGGTGTCGTCAAGCCTTGGACTTGAGGTCTGGTTACTGTTGATCTTGAGAACCCGGGGCCTGGCTTGCACCTGCGTGGCTATATAAAAGGGTAACACCTCCTTCTGTCTGTGTGGCCTCGTAGCGGACTGCCTGCAAGGCGCGTCCCATTCTGGGCCAATGCGTTCTCAATAAAACTGTTTTGGGGCGCCTGGGGGGCTCAGTTGTTTAAGTGTCCAACTTCAGCTCAGGTCATGATCTCGTGGTTCCTGGGTTCGCTTCGAGCCCCGCATCTGGCTCTGGGCTGACAGCTAGCTCAGAGCCTGAAGCCTGCTTCAGATTCTGTGTCTCCCTCTCTCTCTCTGCCCCTCCCCTGCTCACATTCTGTCTCTCTCTGTCTCTCAAAAATAAAAAAAAAAACATTAAACAATTTTTTTTTAAATAACAAAACTGTTTCTTTCCCTACTACCTTTGTGGAGAGATTCTCCTGGGTTGGGGATTTGGCGTTTTAATTATATTCCCCCAACATAACACAAATGCTTAGAAAAGGAAGAAGAAAAGAAGTGGGAGGAAGGGTCTCAAGGAGGAAGGCCCCCCCGTGGGAAACTGGGGTCTTTGGAGGGACATGGTAAAACAGGGCGGGGAAGGGCAGAGAGACTTCCCGGACCGGTGCAGACATTCAGCTGGAAATTGTTTCCAGTTTGTAAACAACAGAATAGAAGCAGATAGAACACACGAGCATCCTCTAAGTGAAACATATAAACTCATGTAACATATGCCCTACACGGCCTGTTCTCAAATATTTACTCCCCCCTCCGCCGTGTGACCTTGCAACGCACCAGACAGGGCAGAAGGGGCGTCACAAAAGGGCAGAGAAGCAGGTTCAAGGATGGACTAATTTGGGAAGCAGGAATGAAACACATTCTTTTATAGGCAAAAGCGACCTTTGAAGGGCGTGTGTGGAAAAGGTCAGAGCCAGCTACCACCGAGGATGGGGATGCGAGCCATTTTATTTGGATGTTACAGAGCAGGGTGACCCCCCAAACTGGCAACCGGGAGCCTGTGGACAGCAGACACCGAGTGCTGAGCACAGAGGATGCAGGTAGAGGTGGGTTTTGAAAACTAGAAGGGGTACGGCGCGCAGCATGGATCAGACACCCTGCGAGGTCTGGAGGCTGTTCCGCGGTCTAGAAGCCCCCTTATCCCCAACAACCAACAGGCCAAATCCTTTCTGAGGGTCAGGCTCAAGAAAGGAGATTTACCTTGCCCTGGCCCAGGCCACCAGACATACCCGGTGAGCCAAATGCTTATCAGCGACCTGGAGCCAGACCTAGACAGGGGCCCGCAGGGGGCGTCATCAGAGTCCGGGATGACCAAGCCTGAGTCCCAGGGCCCACCTAGTCCCTAACCGGCACTGGCCCCACTGCGGTTCCCATTTCCTGCATTTCCTGCCCGGAGAGAGGCACTCAGGAAACAGCTGGGGGAGGGGGAGGTAAGGACACAGGCAAGAGTAAAGAAGTGGCACTTAATACCTAATAAAGGCTGCTTACATGTCATATTTTAGGAGAGGACAATTCTGGTGGAGGAAGAAGACCTCAGGGTCAGAGACGGGAGGACAAAAGAGTCAACCTGGAACACAGTCAAGGTGAAGGGGCTGCGTTCACCGGGGAGGGACCAAGGTCAAGGGCATCGCCGGTGTTTGCTGGGTTCCTGCCCGACTCCACACTGCACCCTAACACCTGCATCCCTAACATTTCCTGCACCCGCTCGGAAAGGTGGATCAGGAGTCTTCACAGCCCTGCCTCAGTTGCAGCTCTGTTTCTGGTGCCCAGGGTCTCATGCCAGGATGCGTGAACGTGGCCGGGGAAGGAGAAGAACGAGCCTTGGAACTGTCACTTTTCCAAGTTCCAGGGAACTCCTGGTTATTTCTCGAAGGACTGGGCTCTCACGCGGTAGAAACCAGGAGCTGTAGGCCTTCCTAGGCCATTCCAGGTAGGTCTCCCCGAGGCCAGCACAGCCTCCCAGCCAGCCTTCCCCAGGTGCCAGCCCACCTCCTCCTCGTGTGGAAGACCCACGCACCTCTTCCCTCCCCTCCCTGCTCTCCCGAAGGCCTGGATGCTCATCCTTGCTGCCCCCAGCCCCCCACCCCACCCCACCCCAGAGAGGTGGGCAAGCATCCATCCTCTCCCACCCCGCCCGGGCCGGCCCCTTCATCTTCCCGCAGCCACGCCCCAGCTGAGGCCAAGACTGCGGGGGGGGGGGGGGGGGGAAGGGGGAGACAGGGGGTGGGGGGGTGCGGGGGGAGGGGGCGTCTCTCCCCCTCACCCCCACCCCCTCTCTCCCCCAGCCGGCTCCACGGTGCGCAGGTTCGGGCTCGTCTGGGGCGGGGACTGGGGAGCGCCCGAAAGTTGCAAGGAGGGCGGGGATGCAGGCCCATCTTTAAAGGCCAGCGACTGGCCCGAAGGCGCGCAGACACCAGCCGGCCGGCGGCCCGACGATCTCCAGACGCGCGCGCAGGACCTGGAGCCCGAGCTGCCGCGGGGCCGCCATGGGCCACTACCACATCTGCGTGGCCACCGGCGCCTGGCTCTTCTCCGGGTCGCACAACCACGTGCAGCTGTGGCTGGTCGGGGCGCGCGGGGAGGCGCAGCTGGAGCTGTGGCTGCGGCCAGCACGGGGCCAGGTCAGTGGCCCTGAGCGGGACCGGGCCTGGGCTCGTGGTGGGAGGGCGGTGGGGAAGGGGGGAGGGCTGAGCGACGGTGCGACCTCCGACCTCCCCCGCCTTGCTGGCTTGCTGGCTTGCTGGCGGGTACAGGAACCGGAGCCCCGCTTGCCTTCTCCCTCCCGACCCGGTCCACGCAGCCTCCCGGGCTTCCCCAAGTGGCCCCCAGAGCCGGTGCCCGAACAGGATCAGAGGTCCCGCCAGAGGCTGTTCCTAGGGCGGGCACGGGGACAGCTCAGGGCTGGACCCAGGTCAGCGACAATGCTCAGTCACCAGTCGCTGACCCGGCGGGTGAGCCTGAGCTCCCTCCTCCTCCTGGGTCCCGCCCTCCCCCCCCTCCCCCGCAGGTGTCCAGAGCAGGGAATGAGGACTGCGTCTCCCGGGGCCTTGGGCAGCGTCTCCCGGGGCCTTGGGCAGCGGGGACTCCACATATGGGCCCCCACCCCCCCACGAAGACAGCCTCTCCTAGGTCCCCGCTCCTAAGTGTCGCGGGGTGTGGCCCCCACAGGTGGAGGAGTTTGAGCATGACGTCCCCAACGACCTGGGGCCCCTGCAGTTCGTGAAGCTGCGCAAACACCACTCGCTGGTGGATGACGCGTGGTTCTGTGACTGTATCACGGTGCGCGGCCCCGGCGCCGAGGAGGCCACCTTCTTCCCCTGCTACAGCTGGGTGCAGGGCCAGGACGTGCTGAGCCTACCTGAGGGCACCGGTGAGGGGCAGGGCGGGGGGGGGCGGTCACAGACACGGGGGACTGCGGGGGCGGGTAGGAGGGGCTCAAACACAGTGGGTGCTCAGCAGATCAAGTGGGGAGAAGACGGGTCAGGGAGGAGTTCTCAGTCCCCAGGTTACACATGGAATAAGGAGGCTGGAGGCAAAGAAGGATCTGGAGAGCCCTCTTCCAAGGAGGGGAAGGGGCCTGGGGGCTGCAGCTCGATGGAAAACAGAAGGGCAGAGCGGGCGTGGCAGGGAGATCTCTGTGTGGCTGGACAAGTGAGCGCAGCGACAGTCAGGGTGGCGGGTGCAGCCGGCGACCGCTCCGGGGAAGCACTCAGACAACTGGGAGGGACGGGGCGCGCTGACAGCGGCACGGAGGAGGGGCGGTGCGGAACTGGTCACTGTGCAGACGAGGCCGGAGGCAAACGCGACGAGGACAGTGACGAGGGAGACCTGAGGGGCCGTGACACAGGTGAGTGCAGGCACAGAGAAGGGCAGGAACCCGTCCGCACAGACTGTGCCGGGAGGCTAAGCAAGGTGGAGTCAGGGAAAGGCCAGCACAGCTGCTCGCGCCGGCTTCTGGGGCAGCCCAAGGTGTGACCCGTGAGGTTCCAGACTGTGAAGTTAAGCAAAGCGGATGCGTGGTAGAAAGAGGCGTGGTCACGCGGGTGATGAAGGCTTTATCAGCCTAAATGAGGTGATGCATCCAGCCCCGGGTAGTGATGACGTGGGCTCAGGGAGGGAAAGGCTAAGGAAGAAGGGGGACAACCATGACATCTGTCTCAGGGCAAGGGCTGAGCACTGGGGGGAGGCCCCCCCGGGGGGAAACAAGCTCAGCAGATTTAGGAGGCACTCGTCCGGGCGACCAATGAGGTGAGGCACAGCAAGAGACAGAGCGACAGAGCGGGACTGGGCCCTCGGGCTCTGCCCACCATGGGCGAAGATGGGGGCGAGCGGAGGCGAGCATGGGACCATGCAAAACTTCACAGCGCATCATCATCCTGTCTCCCCAGCGCGCCTGGCAGGAGGCAATGCCCTGGACATGTTCCAGAAGCATCGGGAGAGAGAACTGAAGGAGAGACAAAAGCTGTACTGGTGAGCACTGCCCCCAGAGCCCCCGCCCCCCACGGCCCCACCTTGACGGAGACGCCCTCCCTGAAGCCTTGTCCCCCTCTCCCAGCTGGGCCACCTGGAAGGAAGGGCTACCCCAGACAATAGCGGCGGAGTGCCAGGACGATCTACCTCCAAACGTGAGGTTCCATGAGGAGAAGAGGCTGGACTTCGAGTGGACGCTGAAGGCAGGGTGAGGGAGCCTGGGACTCAGAGCAGAGCAAGGCCGGGAGAGCCACGCCGGCAGGACTGAGTGAGGGGCCGCGGGGCCAGCGGCTGGGCTCATGTCCCCACACCCGCCCTAGGGCTCTGGAGATGGTCCTCAAACGTGCCTACACACTCCTGAGCTCCTGGAGCCGCCCGGAGGACTTTGATCAGATCTTCTGGGGCCAGAAGAGCGACCTGGCTGGTCAGTGTCCCCCCAGGTCTCTATGCGTCCCTGATGGCCCCTTTGGATGACCCACCCTTCCCACCCCATGGTCCCCATGACTCCTTGCCAACTGAGACCCTATCGGGCCCAATCATGTCATGGAGGCCTGCAGAATGCCAAGCTAGGGGCCACACACAGGGTGATCATGTGCCTGAACTGCCCAGGCAGGGCCTGGAGGAGACGGACTTCTAGGAGGTGATGAACCCCCCCCCCCCCAAACCCCCCCAACCCCACAGAGAAGGTTCACCAGTGCTGGCAGGACGATGAGCTTTTTGGCTACCAGTTCCTCAACGGCGCCAACCCCATGGTGTTGAGACGCTCCACCTCCCTGCCCTCCCGGCTGGTGCTGCCCTCAGGGACGGAGGCGCTTGGGGCCCAGCTGGAGAGAGAGCTCCAGGTACGTGTTCTCCTTGGCTGTGGGCCAGGAGAAGCAGTGAAGGGGAGGGACCAAAGAGGAGTCGGGGGAAGGGAGGCTTGGTGGCCCACTGTGCCCGGGCGTAGGGCCCTGTGCAGAAAGCCTAAGATGACTACGCCCGTAGAGTGTCACCACGAGGGGCTCCCAGCACAGAGGGGAAATGGTGAATTCCCAGGGTGCCGGTGGGGGCAGAGATGTTAGCAGGGACAGTGACATTCCCTGGCTGATGTCACACTCCTGGCACCGGCATCACGGACAGGGACGAAGGTGAAGAAGGCACCACCAGGGTGCCTGGGTGGGCTGCCTGAAGGAGACGAGCGGGTGCACACACGTGTGGGCGGCAGCCGGGGTCAGGGGCCCTCCGTGGAGCACTCAGCAGGAAAGGGGACCACGGGCCAGGAAGCGAAAGAGTATTTGCTGGGCTGGTGGGGACCAAACACAGGGAGCAGAGCACCAAGGGATGACGGCGAGGGGGACCGGCCAGCTTGGCATAAGGACAGCTTCCAGGGCCCATAACACAGACCGGACGGGACGCAGGCCCGACTCTGAGCCCTGACCCACTACCACACGTGCTGCTGGTGCTTCGCTCATTGCACACGAGGGGAGTGGGCTCTGGTGCCCACACAGGACGACGCAAGAAGCCAGGTCAAGGCCGGCCCCTCTGCCCTGGCCCCCCGGGGGTGTGCTTTCAGCCCTAAGCCCGGGTGCGCCCCTCCTCCCCGCAGAATGGGTCCCTGTTTGAGGCTGACTTCAGCCTGCTGGATGGAATTCCGGCCAACGTGATCCGAGGAGAGAAGCAGTACGTGGCCGCCCCGCTCGTCCTGCTCCAAATGGGGCCCGAAGGGGAGCTGCTGCCCGTGGCCATCCAGGTGGGGCGCCCCAGGCCCCCCATCCCCACCCCACTGTCTGTCCGCCCCACCTCTCCCCCAGGGATGCAGCGCCCTGCTTCTGGCCCCTCACCCCCGCCTCAGCCAGAGAGGCCCGTCCTTCCGGACTCGCTTGAGGTCCGGTCTCCCCGGCTCCCCCAACTGGACGTTCCTGTTCTGGCCAAGACTCCTCGTGGCCTTTTGGATTCTCATCCTGTACCCAGTGGTTCTCGAACTTTCGTGGGCACCACACTCACGGGAGGGCCCGTTCAAACACCAGTGGCCGGGTCCCCCCGCCAGACTTCTGGGCTCAGTAGGTGTGGGGTAGGACCTGGGAGTCTGCACTTCTCACGAGTCCCAAAGCGGTGCTGTTGCTGCTGGTCTGGGGGCACGCTCAGCTGTCCTCTCTCTGGAGCCCCGACTCTAAACACCCACGGCCTTGAGTCCCTCTCCCCACGGCTCTCAACGGTCCGTTACCGAGTCCCGCCCACCGTGTCACACACCCAGCCTCCCTTCCCACTACCCACCCTCACTCCCGCAGCCACGGGGGACCCTGGCTCTGACGCTCCTGCCTTCACCCCATCCAGGCACCGGGCACCCCGCTGGCAGAAGGCGGGGGCGGGGGGCTGTGGGCTCATCCTAGCCCGTAACCCGCGGGGAATAACACGTTCTGTCCTGGGCTGTGGCTCCCCCGGAGAGCCGAGCAGAACATCACACAGAAGGCGGAAGTTCAGCAACTGGCTGGTTTCCTTCACGCAGCTCCAGACCCCCAGCCCCGGCTGCCCCACGCCCCCGCTGTTCCTGCCCTCAGACCCCCCGCTCGCGTGGCTCCTGGCAAAGACGTGGGTCCGAAGCGCCGACTTCCAGCTGCACCAGCTCCAGTATCATCTGCTCAACACCCACCTGGTGGCCGAGGTCATCGCCGTGGCCACCATGAGGTGCCTCCCAGGGCTGCACCCCGTCTTCAAGGTACGTCCTCTCCCCTCCACGTCCCAGTCCAGACCCCGGAGAGAGGAAACAGCCCAACACCAAGTGATATTGCAGGAGCAAAAAACATGTTGATTACATTTGTGAAAGAGCGGGGAGACCGGAAGGAAGACTGTACCTTGAAACCTGTGTTTCAATTGTGTCAAGTCACTTAAGGTCTCAGAGAGCTAACAACGTGGCGACGGGGCTGGAGCGAGTCTGGGGCATTGTTAGTAAGACAGCAGCCTCGGTCCCGCCTGGGGAGAATCACTGTTCAGCCAGCAAGGCAAGCGATGCCCCAGAGAACCTTCCGGAGAACAGTAACTGGGCCTGCTATCTGAAGTCATCGGACACAGCTATGAACACCACAGAAATGACGCAGAACTTTCTGCCGCAACCAACGAGCATACTGAGTCAGAACAGATCAGAAGGCCAGGAGAACGCCCAGCAGGCTACCCGAACCCCGAACTGCCCGGGACAGGAGCAGGGCGGGGGTGCTGGCAAGGCAGGGGCAGGAAGGAAAAGGGCAAAGAAATCAGAGACCTGGTGGAGGGAGGGGACTGGCTGCAGCGATCCGGGGAGTGAGACTGGAGAAAGAAAGGCCGGGGGCCCGCGACACCCGGGAGCCCCCAAGGTGGGGGTGCTGCAGATGGGGGTCCTACAGATGGTGACATTTTGTAAAAGAGCAAGCTCAAGGTCGTCTGCAGGGCGGAAGGTGGCCGAGTAAGGCTTGTGCTTAAAAACGTGCTCAACGTGCTGATGGCACTTGAGATACGGGGACACGGCGGAGAGGGGACGAGGCTGACCGCGGCTTCTGAGCCAGGCTGTCAGCGACAGAAAGGTCAGGAGAGCCAGTCTGGAGGCAAAGACGAGGAGTCCAGTTTAAAGTGTGGGGCGCTGAAGTGCTGGCATGTTTGCGCGTGGGGCCGGTCCACAGGGGGGCACCTGAGGGCTTCCCCACCCCCCCAAGCCTGGTCAGGCGCAGCCACAGCCCCGGGAGCTGGAACGACACAGGCAGAGGGAATCCAGCGAGCGCAACCGAATCTCGGATCTCGCCGATCTCATGATGCTCCTGCGTCTCCGTCTTCCGCTCACGGGAAAGGGTTAGGCTTCTGTTCATGCTCAGCCCCACGAGAGAGCGAAGCCTGCTCACATCATGAGGGTTCCTGGCACAGACTCCGGATACGGACGCCGGCGACAGACCAGAATCCTGACCTCGGCACCTCCCCGATGCGCGCACGGTCCTCGACTCTAACCGGGGATGAGGGGGCTCCGCCGCGGGGCTGTGACCGGAGAAGACAACATCACCACTGCGTGCCACAGGCCAAAAGCCACAAGGCACATTCGCTCTTGGGGGTATTGTTACTGCTGGGCCTCAGGGGTCTTCTCCCCGTGTACTTGGGGCTTTCTAGGACACAGGGCGTCTTCCATAAATGTGCGGAAAAGCCGTACACCGACGCGAGCTGATGCCAGAGGATCACCAGGGTCATTCCCTGTGTGCAGCATCTACAGCGCAGAGGAGCCCCCACGCTGCAGGGAGCCTGCCCGTGCCCTGGGCGGACACGACACAAAACAGGCTGAGACCAAAGAAACGCACGTGGGGGTCAGACGGCCTGTTTTAATGCCTAATAAAAAGCCGTTTCTTACAGCCATTAAGAAGAGAAGGACCTAATCGCCCAACTAGGGCAGATGTGCCAACAGCCTCTGCCCAGTTAGGCAGGCAGCTCCATATGGGCCCCCTCCACGGACTCACGGAACCCCCCCACCAAGTGCCTCCCCTGGACCGCAGCCGCCAGACAGGGGTGGGGCTCTGCAAATGAGCAGAGGCTAATTAAGCTATGAATACATGCACCATGGAGATAGGAAAGAAATACAAAGGACACCTACACCCCAGGCGGGAATTATAAAGACCCGCAGGAGCAGCTGCGGTCAGGGCCTGACTCACGGGGCAGCGAAGGGCACGACAGAGAGTGCTCAGACACACACAGGCCAGGCAGGGAGGACAGCGACCAGGGCGGAGAGGGCCACCAGGCAGGGCGCCCACGGCCCTTGAGAAAAGACCCCAGTGCGGCCTCCATAACTGCCCTCCCCAACCCCCCCACCAGCTCCTGATCCCGCATGTCCGCTACACCTTGGAAATCAACACCCGGGCCAGATCCCAGCTTATCTCGGAAGGCGGTATATTCGATAAGGTAAGGGGGTAAGAGGGCGTGGGGCTCATCGCCCAGCATTCCATGACCCCCGCCACTTTCAGGACCCCAGACCATGGGAGCGTAGTGGCCTTGAAACCCACGAGCCTGTCCCTCTGCGCTCGTGTCTCTAAAGGTGAAACCCCACGTCCGGGCCCCTGGACACCACGCTCAGTCTTCTCCCTCAGGGCCTCTCTTCTCTCGTGCCAGGCGGTGAGCACGGGCGGAGGCGGCCACGTGCACGTGCTCCGCCGGGCCATGGCTCAGCTGACCTACGGCTCCCTCTGTCCTCCTGCCGACCTGGCCGAGCGGGGCCTGCTGGGGATCCCCAGTGCCCTCTACGCCCACGATGCTTTGCAGCTCTGGGAGATCATTGCCCGGTGGGTGAGAGCGGCGGCTGGGAGATGCAGGGGCTCCAGGGGGACGGTGGGGCCCTGACCCGACGTCAGCACGGGGCACAACTCCCACGTGGAAACAACAAGGTCCAGGGGCGCCTGGGGGGCTCAGGCGGTTGAGCGTCCGACTTCGGCTCAGGACATGATCTCACGGCTCGTGGGTTCGGGCCCGCGTCGGGCTCTGTGCTGACAGCTCGGAGCCTGGAGCCTGCTTCGGATTCTGTCTCAGTCTTGCTCTCTGCCCCTCCCCTGCTGCGCACTCTCTCCCTCCCTCTCTCTCCAATGTGAATAAACATTAAAAAAAGAAAGAAAGAAAGAAAGAAAGAAAGAAAACAAGGAGGCGCAGGAACTAGTCCTGGGGAGATAAGAAGAGTCAGGAGGCAGTGCAGACGGACACAGGAAGCTGGTAGGTAAAGCTGTGGCGGGTAAACCACGGGGCCTGGCCAAGTCAGGGATTTGGTCAGAAGAATGCCTTTCAGCCATGCATCCAGAATTCTCTTTTTTCTGTTTACTTATTTTTTTAATGTTTATTTATTTTTGAGAGAGAGAGAGAAAGAGCGCGTGTGCAAGCAGAAGGGCAGAGAGAGAGGAAGACACAGAATCCGAAGCAGGCTCCAGGCTTGGAGCTGTCAGCACAGAGCCTGATGTGGGGGGCCTTGAACCCACAAACTGTGAGATCGTGACCTGAGCTGAAGTCGGACGTTTAACCGACTGAGTCCCCCACGCACCCCACGAGTCCAGAATTCTCAAAACCAATGGCACACATTTCCTTCCTTTCTGGACTAGTGTTTAGAAAGAGCTAGGGCATGTCCCCAGGACAACGCTGGCAAGACTCGACCCCATATGCAGTGGCGTCAGCTGCTCGGAGGCCTCAGGAGAGGAGGAGAGGTCAGGGGCAGGGGTCCCCTCCCCTCCAGGAGCTTAGCTCAGTCCCCTTCTCCGGGCAGGTACGTGCAGGGCATCATGCACCTCTTCTACCCCGGGGACGACGTCGTGAGAGGGGACTCCGAGCTGCAGGCCTGGTGCCGGGAGATCACCGAGGTGGGGCTGTGCCAGGCCCAGAACCGAGGTAGGACCCCTCCCCCGAGACGGGAGCCCCATCTCGGTCCTGCCCCTCTGGGTTCAGCCCCCAACCCCTCATCACAGCCCCCCCACTCTGGCCACACACGAAGCATCAGAATCCCGTTCCCGCCTGCAGCTCCTCAAGACAATCTAGACACCCAGGGACTGTCCTCCTCAGAGACCCAGGCCATCAACCTTTACTGCCACCCCCTTGCCCAAGTCACAGCCGCCCCTAACCCGCCCCAGCACAGCCCAGTAAGACCAGAACCACAGCCAGTGCGGGGCGCGCCCAGGCCCCCGGGGCTCCCACGCTCTCCTCGTCGCTATTTTCCTACGTGAGATCCGAACGGAACGGGGAGACTTGCCCACCGAGGCCCGGGGTCTGGCCCTCTGCTTCCCCGCCTCCTCCTCCCGCTTCTGTGCACACGCCCACGGGGCAGGGTCACACCTGGGGCACACTCAGCACCGTATGCGCCCTGGCACAGAGCGGAACTCAGCGCCCTGCCCCTCACGTTTCCGCGACCAGGCCGGCCTCCCCTCCTCCCTGCTGGGGGCTAGCCTCCGCCCTTAGCACCCCCCCTGCTTTAACCTCCGGGGAAGGCACCCCCTTTCGTAGCTCTTGCTAGTCTCACCTTCTCTGTCCAGCGCACACGCGCCAGCGCCGACCAGGCACCTCTGCGTCTGGGAAGCCCTTACGGCCAGGCTCTGGGGGTGCAGCGAGCAATAAACCAACGCCTGCACCCCCCCGCTTCCGGGACCAAACTTTCCCCAGTGCGCCCCAGTGCCAGAAGGCCCTTCTTCCTTCCCCTGGCCATCTCCCCGGCCACCATCTATGGCTGGAAAATAAACAAAACACGCAGATGGCAGCTTTAATCTCCACCGACTGCCTCTCATTCTCTTCTCTACCCCCCCTCCCCCTGCCAGTCTCATAGTGCGGTTTGCCTAATTTTCCCAACAACCTTTCTAGAGGAAACGTGCTAACAGCTTGGGAATAGCAGTCAGGAACCCGAGTTTGAGGTCAGCCCCTGCCTTTTCCCAAGGATGGGATCTCAGCAGGTTCATCTTTCTGGTCCTTGATTTTTGATTTTTTTTTTTTTTTAGTCTCCAGAAGGGGAGTATTTATATTTGTTCTGCTTAACAGTTAAGATGACTGGGTCTCTGGGTCCCCACCTGCACTGGAAAACCAGCGGCCCGAGGCAGCCTTTGTGGAAGCCGCTCTTGGCTGTGACATCACGAATACGGGACTTGTATTCCTCACCCGTAACTGAGACACTCACTGCCCCGTTCAGGGACACTCAGCTCCGTACGCTTCGAGGCAGCAGACATTCTATCGCTCACACCTTGTCAGCCCCCAAACCTTCCCTAATAACAGTAATTGTTATTTCCCAAGAATTTATAACATACGAGGTGATTTCAATGCATCCTCTCATCTATAAGGTAGGTATCATCCACGTTTTACAGGTGAAGAAACTGAGGTTCAGAGAGGTTAAGTAACTGGCCCAAGGTACCCAAATTATATCACTTCAACTCAAATTGGAACTCACATCTAATGCAAACACATTTGAATACGTGAGCAAATGAACAAATAGCCATCGATGCCAAAATACCCTTAAATAACACAGGGGTGAGGGCGCCCACCCTCCGCCCCACACCCAGCAGTTAAAAATCTGCATCTAACTTGTGACTCCCCCAAAACTTCACTACTAAGGGTCTACTGCTGACTGGAAGTTTCGTCAGTAACATAAACAATCAATTAGCACGTATTTTGTGTGTTATGTGTATCATACGCTGTATTCTCACGGTAAAGCGAGCCAAGGAAAAGAAAATGTCAAGAAAGCCGTGAGGAGAATACATTTGTAATACCGGATGGTAAATCATCCACGTATAAATGGACTGTGCACTTCAAACCCGACTTGTGCAGACGTGGGCCTACAAGTCTCTCCTCTCAGGCCGTAGCCTCCAAACCTTGTCCTCTCTGCCCAGGTTTCCCCGCCTCCTTCCAGTCCCAGGATCAACTCTGCCGTTTCCTTACCATGTGCATCTTCACGTGCACCGCCCAGCACGGGGCCATCAACCAGGGCCAGGTAGGACAGCCGGAAGCCCGGGGCCCCGAAGGCAAGTGTCGGGCCTTGGGACTCCCAAGGGAAAGACTGGGGTTCAGAGCCATGCGAGCACCAGGATCCTAGGGGTGCCGTGTCTCCCCCCAGCTGGACTGGTACGCCTGGGTCCCTAATGCCCCGTGCACCATGCGGATGCCCCCACCCACGACCAAGGAAGACGTGAAAATGGCCACAGTGATGGGCTCACTACCTGACATCCGCCAGGCCTGTCTTCAGATGACCATCACGTGGCACCTAGGTCGCCGCCAGCCAGACATGGTGACAGAGGACTCTGGGAAAAGTCGGAAGGGAGAGGGGAGAGTGAGTGTCTAGGGCATTCCGCCTCTGGACTAGAAACTGACTGATCCTTTGTTCTTTCCTAGGTTCCCCTGGGGCATCACAAAGAAAAGTATTTCTCAAGCCCCAAGGCCAAGGCGGTATTAAGCCAGTTCCAAACAGATTTGGAAAACTTAGAAAGAGAGATCACAGCCCGGAATGAGCAAGTGGCCCTGCCCTACGACTACCTGAAGCCCAGCCGCATAGAGAACAGTGTGACCATCTAGCTCTAGGGTGCCCCCGCCTGGAGGCCTTCGGACCAGCGCTAAGCCTGCCATTCCCACCTTGAATTCGGTGGAGTCCAGTCCGGGCTGCTAAAGCTCTACTCTTCTCCGCTCTCCCCCCCCCCCAACCCCCAATAAAGGCCCTACGTCAGTATCCCACCAGCCAGGGGGACTGCACATCTTTTCTGTAAAGGGCCAGCTAATACATGTTTCGGGCTTTACGGGCCGTGCGGTCTCTGTCACCACCACGCGGGGGCCCTGATACAGCACAAAAGCAGCCACAGACGACAGATCGATGAGTGCCTGTCACCGTGCTCCTGCAAAACTGGGTTTATGAGCCGTGAAATATGAACTTCAAGGTGTCACAAAGTGGCCTCCTTTTGGCTTAGCCGACCCTTTGGAAATGCAAGAAAACCTTGTGCTTTGCTGGAGGGACCAGCATGCAGGGACTGCAGAGCTGGGACCTGCCGGGGGCTGCTCTGCGCTAGCCTGAGGCACGGACCCTGCTTCGCAAAGGTCTGGAGAACCGCTGGGAGGTGGAGCAGAGGTTTCTTGGATAAATCAACTACCTCAACTAACTCTCCTTTCCCAGGAGCTAGGGTTCCTGCGCAGCGGTGGCCAACTTAAAACTTCCTGACTGTTCTGTGGCAACGTCCCCTCCACCCTGTTCCCCCTATTTGCACACCTACCCCAAAGGTCCTTCCTTGAGTAAGACCTGGGCAGCATAAACACCCGCGTCCCTTGATGGCTTCCTTCCCCCAGGAAGTCTCAAGCTCGAGGCATGAATTTCATGTCCCAAGGCCATTTTCCCAGCCCCTTTGGGATCCCAGGGCCTATCTGTTTCCCAGGATTCAAGTTCTCTCTCACAACCTGGTTAAGAACGATATGCATAAATAAATAGGGGGAAATTACTACAAAGTTGTTCTAATCGCTGACACTGTTTCTTTGCGTCTGGTTCTGGGGTCTCGGGATCATAATGACCCCTCTCGATTACGCGGTGATCCCTGCCCTCGCTAGAAGGGGCACAACAGGCTCAGAGCAAAGCCGTGTTCTCCAAACACCCTGGTTCCCTAAACAATTATTACACACCTGCCTCTTGCCAGCGAAGCAGGCAAACTTTCTCTTCGGAAACGGTGATCGATTCCTATTGGTAAAATCCCGTAGCCTAGGGGCGCCTGGGTGGCTCAGTCGGTTAAGCGTCCGACTTTCGCTTAGGTCATGATCTCGCGGTTCGTGGGTTCGAGCCCCGCGTCGGGCTCTGTGCTGACTGCCAGCTCAGAGCCTGGAGCCTGTTTCAGTCTGTGACTCCCTCTCTCTCTGACCCTCCCCAGCCCACGCTGTCTCTCTCTCTCTCTCTCTCCCAGAAATAAATAAAAACATTTTTTAAAAAAATCCCCTACCCTATACCTTACTCCAGGGACCTGTGCTCACTTTGCGTGGTTCGCAGCGGGGGAGCAAAGCGGCATCACTTTGGTGTGTTTAACTCCTTTCTCCAAAGACATTTAGCAAGAGCGCTCTCCCTACATACACAGCGTGGTCACGGGGTCCGCTTTCCCGGGGCTTCTCCCAACGCCCCGCGTTTTTCCTGGGTTGGGCATCCGGAACTATTCAGTATTTCGAGTTTGGTAACAAAACGTGACTTAATGACTCCCGATACAAACTCTTGGCAATTCCGAGGCCTCCCGGGCACGACTGCACGCTTGGCCTCGGGAAGGGGCTCCTATCCCCCTGTGTCGTGTCAGGATATCTATTTTTAAAGGCAGAGACGAGAAGGCGACAGAGGCGTTCTTTCTCGGTGTAAGTCCCTGTGTGTCACTTACCATGCCCCCCATCACGGGACACCCCCCACAACTAACGTATGTGAGGGAGGAAAACCGGGTAGCTTCGACCCTCGGCGCCTCAGAGAACATCGCCACGGTTACGAGAAGTTCCGCCGGAGCTACTCCTTCCTCAGGCGCGGCTGCGCGGCTTCCCCGTCACGTGACGCGCAGAATTCGGTCACGTGGTGCGCTGGATCCTCCCATTCCAGCCCGGATGGGGGGGGGGACCAAGAAAGCGGAGGCGCCGCTCCTGCAAAGCCCGCGCCCCAGCTACGTAGGTCATGAGGGGTTCCTGGGGGGCCGTCCCGGCCTCACGCACCGCCTGCGCCGCCGGAGATCCGGGAGGGCCCAGAGGAGCCCAGCGTCCGATCTCCGCCCGGCGTCCCCCCGGCGCGATGGTTGGCGCCGGAGGCCACGCCCCCTCGGCCGCGCTCCCGGCGGCCCGTCCTCCGCGGCGCGAGCCCCCAAGTCCAGCTCGCTTCCCCCCGGGCGCGTCCGGGCCTTCGTCCCACCGCCCTCCCGCTCGGCACGCGACTGGGTGTTCCCCCCGACCCCCTTCTCCATGGCGTCGCTTCTGTGCTGTGGGCCCAAGCTGGCCGCCTGCGGCATCGTCCTCAGCGCCTGGGGGGTGATCATGTTGGTGAGGGGACCGCCCGGCGAGAGCCGGAGGAGGGCCCGACGCGCCCCGGTGTTGGGGGGCCGGGAGGCTCGGGCCGTAGGAAGCAGCAGGCAGGCTGGAGGGGGTGGCCGATTAGCCGCTGGAGGACGAGACACCTGAGGTTGAGAAACGGGGAACTTGAGAGGGGCGGGAGGGAGCCGCGGCTGGTACGTTTGGAGACCCCTCCAAGGTAGGAGGAAGACGAGCTGGGTTCTCGAGAGATGCCTGCGCCGAGTGGAGGGCAGTGGGGAAGGGGAGCGCTTGGTCCCGAAATGGGTAGCTGGGCCCTTGCTTCCCCGGCACTACCCGCCCCCCTCTAGGAAGAAATACTAAGAAGTGCTGATTTCCTCCCTGTCCCGTGATAATGACGCCTCTGGACAGGAGGGTAATCTGGGTGGCTCACTATTCCCTGCACCAGCCGAATCGTCTCCGTCACCAACTCACGCCCTATGCCCGGTGACTGAGTCCGAATCCAGCAGCAACGACCCGAATCCTAGCTCGTTCCGGTCGTGCCCAAACGCAGATGTTGTGGCAACATGAGAAGTGGGAGGAGCTTGGACAGCGAGCAGGTTCGGTGCCTGGGTTCACCCACCTGCCCATTCCCTCTTTCCAGATAATGCTCGGAATCTTTTTCAACGTCCATTCCGCCGTGCTCATTGAGGACGTCCCCTTCACCGAGAAAGATTTCGAGTGAGTGGTCAGGGGGGAGAGGGGGGACTGGGGGCGGGTGGGAGGCGGCAGGGCTGCGGTGGAACCGTACGCGGGGAACCGCAGGCGGCTGCGTGCTTGGGGCCGCGAGGCGAGGGAGCTGAGCGCGGAGAGCTCGTCTCTCGGATCTGAGCGGCCATCCTAAACCCACCGCTTTAGGCGTGGCTCCTTAGGTACTGTCCTTGACCTCTCCGTGTCGCCGTCCACCTCTGCCAACGGGGTGCTGTCATAGGACTCACCCCAGAGGGTTAGGAGGAAGCCTGAATAGTACGTGTGGCCCGGAGAAGCGCCTAGAATGGTGGCCGGCACACAGTGCTCAGTAAATGTCGGCTGCTGGGATCCTTTCTAACACGTCTACCGAATCCCCACCCTAGGAAAGACCCCCAGAAGATCTATGACCTTTACGAGCGAGTCAGCTACAACTGTTTCATCGCCGCGGGCCTCTACCTGCTCCTCGGGGGCTTCTCCTTCTGCCAAGTTCGGCTCAACAAGCGCAAGGAATACATGGTGCGCTAGAGCATCGTCGCGCCTCCCCTCTCCGGCCCCCTCCTCTATTTAAAGACCCTCCCCGCCCTCCCACCCGCGTCCCCACTCCGGCGCCCCCTGCGGGACCGGGGTTCCCCTGCTGCGAGACTGAATCCCCCGTTTCCCCCGCGGAGGGAGGCCGCGGCTGGCCGTTCCCGGGGCCTCCACAATAAAGCGAAACCGCCCTCTTCAGCCTCGTGTCTGTGCTTGGGGCGGGGGGGCCGGGGGGGCCGGGCACCGGGGTGGAGGCCGGCGTCCGCACCCGGAGCTCCGACGCACCGACGGAAGTGGAGTGAGGCCGGGCCGGAAGTGAGGCGGTGTCTTCCACCCTCGGCCCTCGGCTCGCCCGGGGCCGCCGGCGAGGCGGGGGAGCGGCCGAGCGGGAGCCAATCGGCTGCGGGGAGGGGCGGGACTTCCTGCGCGGGGGGCCCCCGGCGCCTCGGTCGCCCGGCTCCGTGGTCCCGGCTAGGCAGCGGCGGCAGCGGCGTCTCCGTGAGGAGGCGCGCGGGGCCATGACGTCAGCGTCCACGAAGGTTCGCCCTCGCTCGCGGACAGCGCTCCCTGGCGGCCACGGGAGGGCGGCCCCCCTCCCCCGGCGGCGCCGACTCTTCCGCCCGGGCCGGGGGGCGGGGGGCGGGCGGGAGCCGGGCCGGGGTGGGGCCAGGGGCCCCGGGCGGGCGGGCGCGGGGGGTGTGCGCCGGCCCCCCGTGACGCTGCCCCGCCCCCAGGTCGGGGAGATCTTCTCGGCGGCGGGCGCCGCCTTCACGAAGCTCGGGGAGCTGACGATGCAGCTGCATCCCGTGGCCGACTCTTCCCCCGCGGGGTACGTGAGCGCGGGGCGCGCGGCCTCCGTGGGGCCGGGACAGGTGGCAGTTCGCCGGTGTGAATAAAGACCGTCGGATGAGGGGCTGACAGGTAGCAGCGCAGACTGGAGGCTCCGGACCGGGACCCCTGCCGCGAGCCGGCGGCCGCAGAGCTGGGGGGGGGTCCCCTGCGCACCGCGCGGGGGGTTCTGTCCTGAGACCCCCGCGGGTCGCACTGGCCTCTGCGGGCTGCTCACGGCCGCCGCTTCACGCGCCTGGGGGAGCGGCCGGGGGTCCTCAGGATTCCCACGGGGCATTCAGAGCTTTTATGGGTTTTTTTTTTTCTTTTTGTAAAGAAAGGCCTCTTTAGGGATCCACGGAAGGGGCCCCAGGGCCCGGGGGGGAGGCCTGGGGGCTGGCTGCGCGCCCCCCCTTCCCACTTTCGCCGTTCCCCTCTCCCCTCTGACAGCGCCAAGTGGACGGAGACGGAGATAGAGATGCTGAGGGCTGCTGTGAAGCGGTTTGGGGACGATCTTAATCACATCAGCTGTGTCATCAAGGAACGGACAGTGTGAGGGAGGGTGGCCGGCAGAGGAGGGGGGTGGGCACTTGCTTTCTCCGCGCCCGCGCCCCAGGCCCACCTTCCCGAGAGCTCCCTTCCAGCAGGACACCCTCCTACCTCGCTGCCGGCTGTGTTAGCACCAACGGGAAGGCTAAAAGGGGAGAAGTTACTGAACCGCTGGGGTAACCAGAGCCCCCCAAGAATTTAACTTCGGGGGGGCCGCCCGAGACCCCCCAACCACCGCACTTCCCTGGCTGTTCGCGGGGCTCCCTGGAGGTCCTGCTGCAGCCTTTCCGGGGATACTGGGATTCTGAAAGAGCTGATCAGGACCCGTTCACAAGTCCCCACCTACGTGTGGGTCAGTCACCGAGGCTTACCTGGCAGCCCTCCACACCCGCACGGGTCGCCCCGAAGAGAATCAGGACGCGGGCCTTCCCGCCGCTCAGCTCAGGGAGTCCACTCGCCATACTCCATCGGCCCTAAATGCGTGCAGAGCTGCAGGAAGACGAGAGCCCAAGGGCCAGGGGCCTAGCCACGAGGCTCATGGAGGGCCCCCCAGGATTCCTTCAGAGCGGCCCGTTACCCCTTCCCGCCCCTCCCTTCTTCCTTCCCCTCCCCCACGACGCCCTTCCTAACCTGCTCGTCTTCTCTTCAGGGCCCAGATAAAAGCCACCGTGAAGCGCAAGGTGTATGAAGACTCGGGCATCCCCCTTCCGGCCGAGTCACCCAAGAAAGGGCCCAAGAAAGTGCCGTCTGGGGTCCTGTCGCCTCCTGCGGCTGTCCCTCCGCCAAGCAGCTCCGGTGTCCCTGAGGCCGGGGGTCCCCCCATAAAGAAGCAGAAGGCCGGTGAGGGCTGCGGAGCCACTGCCTAGGGGCTGAAGGGCCCCTCCGAGCATCCGCGGGAGGATTGGGCTGGGCCAGGGAAGGACACATGTCCCTTCCTCTCCCTGCCTGGGTTCCCAGAGAGTGGCTGAGGGGGTGGGGGGGGAGGGGGAGCTTGAAGCTCTGGGGAGCCGGGGGGCAGTCGGCGAACCTAGAACCTAGCTTGTGCCCCCCCCCCCAGATGTGACGCTCAGCGCCCTGAACGACTCGGACACCAACAGTGACCTGGTGGACATTGAAGGGCTAGGGGAAACCCCTCCAGCCAAGAAACTCAACTTCGACCAGGGTAGGCATCCGCTTCCTCCCACAGCAGTCGCAGGGCTCGGGGAGGAAGGGGCTCCCCCCGACGGTAGGGGCCCCCTGCCCCCTCGTACAGAGGCTCTGGAGGAGAAGGTCGTCCCGTCCACGCTGCAGGGGACCAGCTCGGTGGCGAGCCGGGTGCCTTGGGGAGGGAGGGACGGGGAGACGGCTTCGGGGCACACTTGGGGCTCGCTCCATCTCCGCCCATTTTGTGTCCTGTTCCAGACAGCCTGACCTTGGACTCTGGCCCTCACGTGACCTCTGCCGGCCCTCCTACGCTCTCTCGCTGAGCCTTCCGCCTCTGACCCCTCTCACTGTTCACGTGGACCTGTGGATCGCCGGGGACCCTGAGCAGGCCCACGCACGCGAGCAAGGGCCTCAAGGCTGCGGGGGGGAAGGTGGGGTGCCTCGCTGTTCCTGTATGAGCATCGGCCCCCCAATCCCTCTGACCTCCATCACATGGACGTTTTTATACAGAAAACAATAAAGATTCTCCTCTCAGCTCTGTGCCTGCAGCGTAACGTGCCTGGAGCGCCCTGGGCGCGGGCCTCTCCCCAGCCCCGCGGGGCCCAGCCCCTTCTGGAAGTCCTCGCCACCCTGCCTAGAGCAGCACAGCCAATATTGGCAGACTCTCTTCCCAGTGCCAATATTTCTGTGCTGCTAGAGCCAGGGGGGCTGGCCGTGGGCAACGGACCCCTCCTCGCTCTCCGGAGGCAGAACTGAACTCCGAGGGTCTCTGGCAGTGGGTACTCCCGAGGCGGCCCTGGGGGGTCCTAGAGGGGCAGACTTCCAGTGCTTTCATACCCCCCCCCACCTCACAAGAAGGCCCAGATGTTTTCTGTGTCGCCCCTCCGGGGCGGCCTCCCCGGGCCACGCCTCAGCGGTGCCTTCCCCACCCTCGCTCTAACACCACACTGTGGTTTGGACGTGGCCACAGTGCCGTACAAACCACAGTGTGCTGCTGGGGCGGGGGCAGGACCGGGCTGGGCCGGGGGCGGGGGCTGCCGCCGTGAAGACCCCCGGCACCAGGAGCAGGGACGCAGACGAGGGCTCGCAGGGCAAACATGGCCCCGGGAAGGGTTGGGGAGAACCAGAGACCGGGGGCCGGCAGCGGACGGGGGCCCGTGGGGTGAGCTCCCAGTGGTGCTGAGACTGGAGGCATCTCCCCTCTGCACGAGCTCTCTGCTCAGGGGATCCCTAGGGTGCGGTCGGGGGCAGAGGAAGCGGGAATGACCGTGGGGGCCAACACACTGCCTCCCGACTCGGCGAGGGCAGGGCCCCAAGGCTTCCTGTGTCCGTTCCTCCCCTCCCTGGGTCAGAACCCAAGAGAAAGCAAGGAGAGACAGAAGGCCAAGGACAGCAGGGTTGGGAGTTGGCAGTCCAGAGGTGGTGGGGCCGGAACATGGTCGGGAGAGGGGGGCCGGAAGTCGCCCTGGGCCCTGGGCCTGCCACAAGATGGAGGCCCAAGGCAGGAAATGGAGGCCAGGGGGAAAGGGGAGCAGCAGAGCCCAGGAAGAGGGCTGCCTGGACCGGGGGGCCAGGTGCTCAACCCCCAGCACCGCCCCAGCTCCCCGCCGCCCCCCGGGACCCTCGCCCTACCCCCTGCGACCACCCCCATCAGCCCATCCAGCAGGCCCAGGAAGGCGGGCCCACCCCAGAAAGCCACGTTGAAGCTGAGACAAACATGCCTCTCCCCACCCCCACCCTAGGCCTCCCCTCGGCCTCTTCCTCCTGCCCTGGACTTGATTTTTAAAAGCACCCCACAGAAAGCACAATCTGGGGACCCCGATGCCTTCCACAAATCAAAACAACATCCTCTGGAACCCTGAAGTCTTCCTCCATCCCATTCCACCCTTTACCACCACCCCCCTGCCGACACACCCCCCAAAACTCTTAGCAATCAGAAAGATCTAAGATGGTGGGTGTAAGCAGTCTGCTTGGGCCCCGGGGGGCATGCCAGACCCCCTCCCTCGAGACCCCCATCTGTCCTCCGCCAAACTCTGCCAGGACCTCCTGGTCCTCACTCCACCCTCCATAGCCCCCCAAACTGAGCAGCTGACCCCAGCTCCCGATTCTCGGCAGAGCCTTTGTGGGGGTGAAACAGAAATCAAACACCATGCTAACGGCTGGGGATGTTGGGGGGCCTTCTGGACTCGGCCTTTGGTTTCTACCTGGGGGACTGCACTCGGGGGGCATAAGAGAAAGCCTCTCCAATCGTCCCCCCCACTTCCAAGACTGACAAAGCCCAACCCCACCCCAGCACGCACCTCCAAACCTCCCCCCCAACCGCCACGTCTCTCCTGAAAACAGGGGACACTTCCCTCCCCACTTACCTCAGCTACTCTCCCCTGAGATCCTGGTCCCCTATTTTGAAGGGAGCAAAATTTGGGGTGCATCCCTCACATTTGGGGTGCAGGAGAAAGGAGCCGCCCCAGTCGCATCGCTGGCCTCCTTCCTCTCGGCTGGCTCAGGGAGTGGGGAGTGCCCTAGGGAGGGGGGACCCCCACAAGAGAGCTCAGAAGGGGGTTCCTCCATTCCCAGTCAGAATTGGGGACACCCCCCCAAACCCGTCCCAGCCCATCCGTCTCCAACTCGGCGGGAGAGGCAGCTGCAATGCCCCAGTCAGATTCCCCCAACACTACATTCCTCACCCCATCTAGAGGGGTCCCGGGGGCTCCAAAAAATCCCAAAAAAATCTAGGATGTTGGCAGGACGGTCCTGGACTAGCACCCCAAATTTGGGGTCCTCAGATACCCCCGTTTTTTCAGGAAAATTCCGTCTTTCACCTGCCTCCCGCCAGCCCTGCTCTGTCCCGATGCCAATTTTGGAAGTCACTCCCTCCCTCCTCCTCCCCGTCTCTCCAGGCCCCCCCGCTCGGGGGCTAGGGTCCAGGAAACCTGGTTTCCAGACCGGGGGGCACTCCTCGAAGGGCCAGGGGCCAGGAGGTCAAGCTCATAGCCCCAGTCTCAGGGAAGCAGGAAAGCCCGATCCTCCCCTCCCCTCCCCCCTGGCTGGTCTCCGTGGTGGTTTAAGGGAAGCCTGGAGGATTGGAATCTGCCATTGCTGTTGCACAGGCAGGTTTTTTTCCTTGGGTTGGGGGGGTGGGCGGTGGGAGGGAGAGAGGGGAGGAGAGCCGAAGAGAGCAGGGACCCAGGCGTGCAGAGCTGGCCCGACTCGCCCCCTCGCCCCTGCTGCCGTGGGGCACCCCTCCCCCCCCAACCTCACCCACGTTCCCAGTGCTCTGTCTGCTTCCCGTTTGGGGCTCTTATCCTAGAAATTCTGGGTACAAGAATCACCTCCTCGCACCCCCACCCCCGCCTCTCCTTGCCAAAGTTCCAACAGCCCTGCCCAAGCCAGAGGCGTCCACTTTGCCACAGGACACCCCATTTCCCCCCGCCTTCCCGGAAAGTGAGGCGTGCTCCCTTAAGAAATTGGGGTTCAGAGTCTGAAACCGCCTTTTCTCCCTCAGATCTATCCAGGCCCCATAGAAATAAGAGGAGAGACCCTAACCACTACCTCTCCAAGTTCCTCCCTTCACACCCTGGGTGTAATTGGGGGCTCACTGACAAAAGAGATTTCTAGAATCTGGGGTGAGAGGGGGCTCTAAGCAAAGGACATCCCACACCAGCGTCATGCTCCAAATCAAGTGAACCCCTAGATCAGTCTGGTCGTATGACCCATCCCTCGGTTGCATCAAACACACCCAAAGAGTGGCCAAACACCCCAAAATAAGGACACCCCAAAACTTTAGTCTCCCACCCTGGGCCCTCACCTCGTTTCTCCCCCTAGAAAAAAACCTTCGTGGCTATCTAGGCATACAGTGGACTGGCGGACTGGCCCCCCTCAAAGTAACTTTCCACAACATTCGAATGTAAGGCTTTGCTTCCCCTCCATGACCCATAATCGCAGAAGGCCTTCGCACTTGCTCCCGGGTTCCTATCATGTTCCACCTCAAGCTAACAAAAAAACCTGAAGTGACATTTCGTGTCCCCCCCAGTCTAACCTGAGCCTTGAAACACAGATGGCTTCCCAAAACAGACTGTCCCTCAAATCAGCATGACTACCCCACTTGAAAGATCGTCCGATGGCTATGAATCCCCCAAACAACACCCTCATCCACCTCCTCAAGAACACCCAGCGGTCCGTCCTGATATTCCAAGCGGACGATCTCCAAATTATGGGGGTCAGAATCCCCAAAACTAACGTAGCTTCCAACTCAGCTCCATCCCTCAAACTTACCGTTGGCCCTGGGGCCTGAATGCAGCCCTCCAGTGCCCAGAACAATCGGACGAACTCAATGCCCCACCATAGACGTGCCCTCCACAACTGACCAGATAACACATCACCTCCACCCTGATACCAAAAGGAGCCCTCCCACCTCCCACCTCCCAACTGAGCAGAGACCAAAGTAACCCACACAGGCAAAAGCCACAGCGTCCACCCCCCCCCTCCCCGGGCCCCATCCTTAGGGGTCCCGGGTTCTCAGTTTCTCAGCTGCATGCAAATAAAGACACCCTCAGATCTGAAGAGGAGGACCCCAGGCCCAGGTATGCAGCTCTGTGGATAATGCGTGGATAGCTCTTCCTGGGCATCTGCTTTGCAGTTAGACTCATCTCTGCCTCCCCCGCCCCCGCCAGATAAACACTGCCACCCCCGACGACTCCCCAGACAAAATATGCGGGTGTGACCCGTGCCTCTCTCCCAGATCGGGGACCTAAATTTAGGGTTATCGGCCCCTCCTTCCCTCTCTCCCTCCTTTCACCCTGAGACCCTCCCTCCCTGTTCTCCCTTCTCCGTCCACCGCACCCAAATTTCATATTAGTGTTCACTAAAAATTCACCTCTACAGACAAACAGTGCTTCCAGCTTCATTAGAAAAGAAAACCCTGAGCACCCAGGGCTGAGACCCAGAGCCCGCGGATTTCTAACCCTAGCCTCGGAGGAAAGGCCCCTCTGTCGCCTAGCCCTCCCTCCCTCCGCCCAACCCTAGTCCCCTCCTAGGAGACAGAGGGACAAAATTAACCAGCGCACAGGGGAGAACGAAGGTTTCAGCCGCTCAGACCGAGTGGATCCTGCGCCCCGGTCCGAGTGGACCCCAGCCGGGTGGAGACGGCGAGGCGAGGCGAGGCTAGTGCTCGTCCGCCCCCTCGTGGAAGGAGTCGGGCATTGCCGGGGTTTGCCTCCTTGCCGCGCTGGACCCCGGCGTCCCGCCAGCCTCCGAGCGTAGCCGACGGGCGGGTGCCCGAGGCCCTAGTGAGCTGGGATTGGGGGAGGGCGCGCGGGCTTGGGGAGGGAGTCTGTCTCCCTGGATCCCTAAAAGGATTCAGGAGAGAGTTGGGAGCGAGAGTCCGGACGCCGAGGTCTCCTGAGCGTCTCTGGGCCCCCACCCGGGGCTTTCCCCACCTCCTCGAGGGGAAGCAGCTGGCGGAGCCGTCCGGTCGCAGGACAATGGAAGGAAACGAACTAGAAATCATATCCGTCCCCTCCCTACCCCGCCCGATCGGAGCCCCCCTTCTTGCGGGCACCGCCAGAGGAGCCTGTCATTCACACCACGCCCTCCCGCTGTCGGGGACCCCACCGAGTCCACCGTCGCCTCCCCACCCCTGGTGCCTTGGGCGCCCCTTTACCTCCTTGATCCCTTACGTTGGAAGCGGGGGGTCCCTGTATTCACTCTCCAGTGACAGGCACCCACTTCCAAAAGCCAACACACCGATTTTCGCCGCCCCAGGCCCCTCGACGACCCAGGTCGCCCATGTTTCCAATCTCGAGACGCCCCAACCTGCTCCCCAATTCCACTGTCCCATCCCCGGTTCCACTTTCAGTGGCCCGAGACCCCTGACGTTGCGACCACCCAGGGCTCCCGAGGTCCCGCCCTCGAGCCGGAGACCCCGCCCCGGGCTCGCCATCTGGAGGGCAAGGGAGGAAGGAAGGATACAGACCCAGGCGTTCACCCCACCTCCACCCCCGCCCCCGCCATCCCGGCCAGATAAAGGAGCCGAGTCCAGGAGGGGAGAGAGACCCCGCCCCCCTGAGAAGAGACGCCGCAGCCCCTGCAGGACGGGGGTAAGAACGCGAGACTGAGGGAGCCGGGCTCCTGGGTCCCCGGAAAGGGGTATCGATGGTAGGGAGACTGAGGCCCAGTGCTAGGGCTGCGCTAGGGGGTCGGGGACTAGACAGTGGAATTCCGTGCTTCGGAAAGGGAGCTTCGACTGCGATTTGGAGAGGTGTGGACCGCGGCCGTCTGGGGTCTCCAGGCAGGCGGGCCAGCCACGAGTGGGGCGCGCGGCGAGGCAGAGGGGGGCGGGGTGCCGTGAGGGCACGAGCCGTGGAACCCAGGAGGCTGCGGGCCGGTTCCCCACGCGGGCCATCGACGGCGCGGTCGGGACCCTCCAGCTCACTGCCCGCCCTGCGGGGTCTCGGGGAGGGGGCGGCGAGCGCCGGTGAGCTGAGGCCAGAACCCCAGAAACTAGACGGGTGGAGCGAGGCTGCGCGAGCCGGCCGGGGGGCTAGGCTCTAGCTGCGCGTCGGCAGAAGGGGCGAAGCGCGGAGGGCTTCGGGGTCCCTGAGCCCCTTGCTCGGCCCCCGCAGGCCTGCGTCGCGATGGGCTCCACCGCCGCCCCGGAGGGGGCGCTGGGCTACGTCCGCGAGTTCACGCGCCACTCCTCCGACGTGCTGGGCAACTTGAACGAGCTGCGCCTGCGCGGGATCCTGACTGACGTCACGCTGCTGGTTGGCGGGCAACCCCTTCGCGCCCACAAGGCGGTTCTCATCGCCTGCAGGTTGGAGGGGTGACTCGGGGGGGCGGGGCGGGGCGGGGCCAAATGGGCAAGGGGAAGAGCCAGGGGGCCTTCGGGTGGGGATCCAGAAGCTGGAGGCTGAGCGCCCCGGAATTGGGGCGATGGGGGGAGGGGGGAGGACCTGGGCGCGTCTCCCAGGGGTCCCCAGGCGCTAACATAGCCTCTCTGCCCTCTGCCCAGTGGCTTCTTCTATTCAATTTTCCGAGGCCGCGCAGGAGTGGGGGTGGACGTGCTCTCCCTGCCCGGTGGCCCCGAAGCCGGTGGCTTCGCTCCCCTGCTGGACTTCATGTACACTTCACGCCTTCGCCTCTCTCCCGCCACTGCGCCCGCGGTCCTTGCGGCCGCCACCTACTTGCAGATGGAGCACGTGGTCCAGGCATGCCACCGCTTCATCCAGGCCAGGTGAGGGAGCCCCAGCTCGGTGCCCTCCGCGGGGGGAAGTGGCATCCCGGGTGTCAGGGGCAGAGGCCAAGACTGGGAAATAGCACTAAGGCCCATCGCACTTTTCCCAGCTATGAACCTCTGGGCGTCTCTCTGCGGCCTTTGGAGGCAGGACCTCCCACGCCGCCAACCGCCCCTCCCCCGGGCAGTCCCAGGCGCTCGGAAGGACACCCGGACCCACCTACTGAGTCTCGCAGCTGCAGTCAAGGCAGCCCAGACCCCAAGGCCTGCAACTGGAAAAAGTACAAGTTCATCGTGTTAAACTCTCAGGCCTCCCACGCGGGGAGCCTGGCGGGGGAGACGAGTTCTGGTCAGCTTTGCCCCCAAGCCGGGCTCCCCAGTGGGGATGAGGCTTCCAGCAGCAGCGGCAGTGAAGAAGGACCCATTCCTGGTCCCCAGAGCAGGTACAGAAACTGGAACCTTAGGAATGGGTAGAGGCCAGCCTCAGCTAGGAGGCAGAGCCATTGGGCGGGCCTGGGGGGCCCCAAACAGAGGGTGAGGGGGTGGAGCTCTGGCAGCCCATGGAGATGGTCCTCGGTCAGTACTGGCTCACCTCCAGAGGGTAGGCCTTGGGCTCCAAGCCCTCCAGGGGAGAGCCCCCCTCCATATACTCTCCCCTCTCTGCCTAGGCTCTCCCCCACTGCTGCCACAGGACAGTTCAAGTGTGGGGCTCCAGTCAATACCCCCCATCTCCTCGCAGCCCCGGCTCAAGAGACCACTGGGTCACACTCTGGGCCGGCTTGTCCCCCACCAGGTAAGAGCCCTTCCGTTTACTTCCTTCATGGCTCTTCTCCCGGGGGCTGCTCCAGGCCAAGTTTGCGTCCAAAGGAAAGTCCCTTTCCAACCACCACGACTTAGAGTCACGGAGCTTTTACAAACCCCGTTGCCCAGGTCACGCCCGCCCCGTAGAGCAGAATGCCTGGAAAAGGGAGCCAGGTATCAGTACTTTTTAAGGCTTCCAGTGAGCAGCGAAGTCCTGGCCTGTTCCCATCAGGGGTGAGCGGTGGGCCCAGAGCTGGGCAGGGCTTCCCGGGCAAGAGTCGAGGGTAAAGGGGGCCAGTAACGGCGGCCTCCACGAGCCGCCACCACTACTGAAGAGGTTCGCAGAGTCAGACAGACATGAAGTCACATCTTGGCTTTGCCTCTTGTTAACCACGTGACCTTGAGTAAGTCAAACGAGCGCCAGGAGCCTTTACAGTAAATTGGGAAGGAGAAAACCCATTACCAACGCGGTCTGAGGACTCACTGGTGGTGGTGCTGTCGTGACTCGTGACCCGCCTCCCTTCCCAGGAAGTGAATTTTTCAGCTGCCAGAACTGTGAGGCTGTGGCCGGGTGCTCGTCGGGGCTGGATCCCTTGGCTCCTGGGGATGAGGACAAACCTTACAAGTGTCAGCTGTGCCGGTCCGCCTTCCGCTACAAAGGCAACCTGGCCAGTCACCGCACGGTGCACACAGGTAGGGGAGGAGAGGGCCCCCCTCCAGCCTCCCCCCTCCCCCCCCCCAGGCCTTGGTGTCCCGCAGGTGTCCTAGGGCAGAGTCCCTGACCTCCCTGCCTCCCTGCCCGCAGGGGAGAAGCCATATCACTGCTCCATCTGCGGGGCCCGCTTCAACCGGCCGGCCAACCTGAAAACGCACAGCCGCATCCATTCCGGAGAGAAACCGTATAAGTGTGAGACGTGCGGCTCGCGCTTCGTGCAGGTACCCAGCCGGCCCCGAGGCCCCGAGGCCCGGAGCGCGGGGCGGCCCGGCGCGGAGGGTCCCGCCCTCCTGCTGGCGCAGTCTGAGGTCCCCCTCCCCGCCCAGGTGGCGCACCTGCGCGCGCACGTGCTCATCCACACCGGGGAGAAGCCCTATCCCTGCCCGACCTGCGGCACTCGCTTCCGCCACCTACAGACCCTCAAGAGCCACGTTCGCATCCACACCGGGGAGAAGCCTTACCACGTGAGTCCCCGACCCCGCCGCGCCCCAGCCTGAGCAGGACCCCGCGTTCACCTAGGGGCGGGGCCCTGAGGGGCGCTCCTCGGAGTGGGCGGGGCCCTGGGAGATCGAGGGGGCGGGGCCGGGGCTGGCGAGGCTCAGGCACCCAACTTGGGCTCCCGGACTGGGCGCAGGCGGTCCCGCACCCCCGGCCCCCAAGAGGAGCTGGGGAGGGAAAAGGCTTTGCAGAAGAGGGCGGGGCCTACCGCTTCGGCCTCGGCTGAGGATCTGGGAAGACGCGAGGACCGAAGGGGAGCTGGTCAGTGGCCCCGCGCTCCCCGCCTAGAAGGTGCTTATGGAAGCGGGCGAGACCTGACCCGGCCGTCCCCTCCACTCCCAACAGTGCGACCCCTGCGGCCTGCATTTCCGGCACAAGAGTCAACTACGGCTGCATCTGCGCCAGAAGCACGGAGCTGCCACCAACACTAAAGTGCACTACCACATTCTGGGGGGGCCGTAGCCGAGCGCCGCCCCAGATCCCGCTCACCTCCTGGAAGCCGGGAGAGTTGCGCTCACGCCCGGGCCTCCCTGTTGGCCTTGGGCACGAGGAGACGGGTGGTGTGCAAGGCCCCTCTGGTATCAGAAACCGCCACCACCTTAAATTCTCACTGGGGGGAGGGGGGACGGAGGGGGAGCAGGGATGGCAGGTCGTGGCTCGATCTGCCTGTTTTGCTGGTCAAAACCTCTTCCCCACGATCGAAATTGTCCTTGAGACAAGCAAGCTGGGAGCTGAGGCAGGGGACAGACTGAGGCCCGGATTCCTCCAGGAACAGTCCTCCTCACCCCAGCCCCGTCTCCGATTGGTTTGTCTGTAAATATAATTTATTGAGGCCCGTGGGTGGCTCCAGGGCCTCCATTCGACTGCATTTCCCCCTCCCTCTTCCACAAGTGTGATCCAAAGTGACCTGAAGCACAGAATGCAAGGTCACAGCTCTGCTGGCAGAGATGAGCACCTGGCAGTGTCCTTAGGCCTGGGTGTTTTATGTTTATATTATTGTCATTAACTTTTATCTTCAGAATCGTCGTTTCTCCTATCTGTTTGCTTGTCAGTGTGCATAAAATGGAGCGAGGGTTTCTCTGTGTCCTGTCCCTGCCAATTGTAGGTCTGGAACCTTAATTTTCTAGGGCAGCACGGGGCACATGTGGGTTTGTGGCGCTGGGTCAGGAACCCTCTCCGATGGTCTGGATATTGTGGCTTCTCTAGCAGGCTGGAACTGGCTACAGACTTTTCTCTGTTTTCAAGACTTCTAGGAGCCTTTATGGTGAGCCCGACTGGGAAGTTTAGTAAGTGTCTCCTGGGGGCTGTGCATGTGGGGGGCGCTGTCAGTGTTGGAGGTGGGTGGGGATGATCGGAGAGGCCTTCTCTTACGGCCCTAACCCCCAAGAGTCCGGCCACCTGGGTTCGGCCGCACCACGTCTGTCTGGCATGAACTGGGCTTTAGTTGAGCCCAGAATCCACCTCCTGAGGCTTGTTCTGAGCACTGAGTTGATCCCTCAATGAGGGAGAGAGATCTGAAATTCCTTATCGGAGGTGGTGCAAGCTTTGCGGGTTCTGCCCAGCCTCTAAGAATGGTATGACCTGCGGATGAAATTATGAAACTCTTTATCTTGACTAAGAGCTGAGTCATGATGAGTCCTTTACTGCTGATGTGTCTGGATTTGAAAGTTCCTTGGGAGTCTCTCTACCTGAACAAACCCCTTCTCTCCTTAGTGGGGTTTTGGACGTCTTCTGACAAGTGGTCAGATTCTGGGAACTTTGTTGCCCCTAGAAGTCACTGGTGCTTGGTAACTTTCTTGCTTTAAAGAAGCCAGGTCTGTGACCGGGCCTTCCGGCCACTCCGTTCCTGCCTGAAACCAGTGAATGCAATAGGATCTTCCATAGGGAGAGAAAAGGGGCTGAGTTCCAGTCTGGATTTGCTAGAGTTTGGGATTATGATTGGGATTGCGGTTGGGATTTGAGATTTAAAAGAATAACTGACTGATGGACTTTCCAGTTGGCCAAGTGCCTGGGTCGGATGGAGAGATTTGTAGGTTGGTCGAGGGGCCCAGGCTCCAGTATAGGCCACGTAGGTAGAAAGTTGCGAATGGAGTTGCCTCTTAACTAGAATGTCTGGAATGTGAGATGATACTCTGAAGCCTTGATTTATGGTCTTTCCCCTCCTTGGGAGCTCTTTGATTGCAGGGTGTGGGTGGAGGGTAAGGAGCACTTTGAATTTCTGGGGTGGAGCTTGCTCAAGACAGGTCGGCACTAATTGCTGCCCCTTGAGGACAGGTGAGAAGGCAACTTTTCTCTCTTTCCCTCTTACTCCCGCCGCGGAGTTGAAAGCAGGGAGGGAAAGCAGAAGAGAGATATGAGAAGGAACCATGATTTTTTTTTTTTTTTTTTTTTAGCCAATTGGATGGGCAAGTGGAGAGCACCTAGGGGTGGAAATGTTAGATCTTGCAAGATCAGAATCTTGGAATAAAGAAGCCTCTCTGTGCTGCCTGATGTGTCCAGGGTTCTTGCCCGGGAGGATCCGGGAACGGGGTGAAGCTGGGAGAGAAGGGTCTTAAGGGTCTTCCCTTCCGGACTCCATCTTGGATTCCGTGCCCATGCCACTGCCCCGATCCCATCAGACACTTTGAGTGGCTCTTGTTCTCCCTTTGCCTGCCCTTGCCTTCCGGCTCATTGTGTGGGAACCGGTGACTTCATGAAGTTTCTCCGGAGCCACCTGCATCCTGCTCCTCTGAAGTCACTTCCTGGTCGAGGTGTGGGGGCAGGGAAGAAACTGGGAAGCCACTAATAATACCAAGGGGTGGGGGGTGCATCTGTGCTGGGGTGTTAATGCTTGGGACCCCCCCGCCCCTACTGCCACCAAGGAAAATGGACAGGACTTGGGTCCCCTGAGGACAGTAGAGGGTGCAGGTGGCAGTGAAAAGGCCATGTATGTGGTTGGAGCCAACATGCCAGCTACACCCCTCCCCCCCGCAAAGGTGCCTCGGAATCTGTCCACTGCCCGGAGCAGGCTCCTCTCCCACCCTTTGCATGTCCTGGGGGCGGGTCACTAATTCTGTGAAATTACCTCCCTTTTGGATTTAAATTCCTCATTTGTGAAAGAAGTCCATTAACATGGTCTGCTGTTCCTTCCAATATTTGCAGTTTGTGGTTGTATTTAAACTCGTGATCTAGATTAGATTTTTGTAAGTTAAAAAAAAAGCAAGCAAGGAAGCAACAAGGAACCTAAACTAAAATCTCCCTTTCCCCTCCGCCTCTAGCTTATGTCCTGTTGAAAAATGAGACCAGCTAATATTACTTATTCCCCCGCTACCTGTCAGGTCCTAAACTAAGCATTTTATTTTAGTGCATAGATTTTCTAATTCAATTCCCCTGACAACCCTAAAAAATAGGTACTCTTCTTATCCCCAATTTCCAGTTAGGAAAGCCACCGGAGAGGCTCAGTGTCTTGGACGGTATTTGGTGAAATCAAGATCGAAGCCTTGATTTGCTCCTAAAGGCTCCTTCCTGCACTATGTTATACAGCCACATCTGTTTCTACATCTTGCCATTATTTCCCGCCGGCCAAAGTTTTGATTCCACTTAAGAAAACAAAGTTTTGGGGGTATGATTATTTTTATTTCCCACGTATAAAATCATAAGGCTCAAAGTGCTTTTTGTAAAAACAGATATATCTTTGGGAGAACACAAGGAGGAAGGGGCAGAGAGGGGGGCAGAGGATCCTAAGCGGGCTCTGTGCTGAGCCAGATGTGGGGCTTGAACTCATGAACCCTGAGATCATGACCTGAGCTGAATGAAGTCTGTAGTTCAACCAACTGAGCCAGCCAGGCGGCCTTGCTTTTTCTTTTTCTTTTTAAGGTGTTGTTGTTGTTGTTGAATTTGAGAGAGACAGAAAGAGCAAGGGAGGGGTAGGGAGAAAGAGGGAGAGAATCCCAAGCAGATGCGGGACTCGGGATCCATCAGCTGTGAGATCATGATCTGATCTGAAACCAAGAGTGAGCCACCCAGGGCTTTTTTTTTTTTTTTTTTTTAAGTAGTCTTCACACCTAGTGTGAAACCCAGTGCATATCTCCAACTTACGACCCTGACATCAAGATCTGAGCTGAGATCAAGAATCGGATGCCCTATGGACTGAGCCACCAGGCAGTCTCCCCTCAACCCTACCCCCATTTGTCTGGATATGAGCCCTTGAACCCATTTTGCCAGGTCAGGATCCTGGGGAGCATGAATTATAATGAAGAAACAGGAACCCGAGCCCCGGGTGCTATCTAAGGTGAAGGGACTGGTTGGGTAGGAGTGTCCGGCGGTCAGAGCCTGGCTCTTTAGTCAACCTCATCAGATCAAATACTGAGATCAGGAAATTCTTGTTACCAGAGGGTGAAGGAAAAGGTTCCAGCCCCACCGAGGAAGGGGGTGTAGGTGGTGTTTGTGGGGCCCCGAGTGAGCTCACAGCCGCCCTTCCTCTCCCCAGTTATTTTTGGTCTCTGTGACCTGGTGATTTCCTGTTGGTGAAAACAGAAGCAATAGAAACCGAGCTCCCACTGCAGAAGCGAGCGCCAGCCGTCCAACCGCTGGACCTTCCCCTGGTCTCTTCCTGGGCCTTGGAAACCCTCCGGGACCCGGGCATCTAGACTGGAGCGTCCTCGGGCGCCGGGGCGGGTGTTTTGTCTGACACTCTCGTCGCAGAACCGCTGCGCGCACCGGGCGACCTGGCCTTGCAACCAGGCCCCTCGTTGAGCAAGTGGGTGTCTTCCTCTCCTGAACCAGTTCACCCACCGCCTTCCCGCATGAAACCCCCTACGTGAGAGTCTTGCGGCGGAAATCCGTACGGATAAAAGTGGGCAGGAGACACAGCGGCCTCGCAGACCATCCCCGAGTCCCACGGGGCCCACCCCGCCGGCCTCCTCAGGTCCCCTCTTTACGCATGCGCTCCACTCGCTGTCCGGGTCCGGGGACGCAGCTCTAGGCCCCGCCCCGCCCATCTGGCTCCGCCCCCTGCTCAGGAGTCCCGCGTCCCCACCGGCCAGTGGGGCGCCGGGATGTGGGCCGGGGTGGCCGCGTAGCTGACACTTACAGTGATCGCCACACGGAGGCTGGCGCGCCGCAGGGCTGGGGCCGGCACCCCGGGCCGCCTAGCGGCCCCTCGACTGAACGTCGGGCCCCCCTGCCCGGGCCGGTCCCGCCCAGGCCACGCCCCCCGGGCGCCGCTCGCCCGCCCTCCCCACCCGGGTCGCCCCCTTCGGGGACAGGCGCAGGCGCCTCTCGCAGCTTCCCTGCCGTTTAAAAGCCCTGCTCGGTGCCTTCCTCTTTAGCAGCCTGCCCTCCGCCGGCCGGGCGCCTCGGGGGCGGAGGTGGGGCGTCCCGCTCGCCCTGCTCGCGCCCGGCGCGCTCCCCGATGGCGCGCAGGGCCGAGCCCCCCGACGGGGGCTGGGGGTGGATGGTGGTGCTGTCCGCCTTCTTCCAGTCGGCGCTGGTGTTCGGGGTGCTCCGTTCTTTCGGCGTCTTCTTCGTGGAGCTAGTGGCGGCGTTCCAGGAGCAGGCGGCGCGGGTGTCCTGGATCGCCTCCATAGGGATCGCCGTGCAGCAGTTCGGGAGTGAGTGCCGCGCCCGGCCCGGCGTGCGGCGACCCTCCCTCGGAAGGGACGGGGGGCGCAGGGGGGCGAGGGGGAGGGCGCTGCCGGAGATCTCCTCGCAGAACCTTTTCCTCTTTCTCAGGCCCCGTGGGCAGCGCCCTGAGCACGAAGTACGGGCCCAGGCCCGTGGTGATGGCAGGGGGCATCTTGGCTGCGTCGGGGATGCTGCTCGCCTCCTTCGCTACCTCCGTGACCCACCTATACCTGAGCATTGGGCTGCTCTCAGGTGAGGCCCAGGACTAGGGCAGGAGAGGGAAAGGGCCTCCGGACTTTCACCTGCTTCCTGCCCCTTCCCAAAGGCTCAGGGAGGAGCCGTCAGAAAGTTTCTTCGAGCACCTAGGCCCCGAAGGGAAGGTTTGATGAACGCAGCGTGGGGATATTGAGAAATTCAGAGGAGGAGTCCAGCGTATGCAAGCCCAGGGCTGGTGGGGCCGGAGTGTAAAAGGAAGAATTACCCTACGTGCCAGGTTCGGTGGCTGTGAAATCAATCTCATTGTCAGATTTGCATACAGACCAAGAAGGCTTGGGAAGCTTCTGTAACTTGGCTGGAGCTCACCGCGGTCAGAAGTGGTACAGAGCCCCAGCCTAACTCCAGAGCTCTGAGCTACTTACCGCACAAACAGTATAGCTAAGCCTCCGCGGTCCAGTGAGGTGTATTACCGCCATCTGCAAGATGGGGAGACCGAGGCTGAGAGATGGAATAAAACACAGGATATCGATGCGAGACGCTGTAATCAAAGCCTGTGCTACATCCGGGGCAGTGGTGGGATTACTGGGTGCCCTGAGCTCCCTAAGAGTCCCCCAACCCTTGTCTGTTCCTTTTTGACAGGCTCTGGCTGGGCCTTGACCTTCACTCCGACCCTGGCTTGCCTGTCCCGCTACTTCTCTCGAAGACGATCCCTGGCCACGGGGCTGGCACTGACGGGCGTGGGTCTCTCCTCCTTTGCCTTTGCCCCACTTTTCCAGTGGCTGGTCAGCCGATACGCCTGGCGGGGGGCCCTGCTGCTGGTGTCTGCCCTCTCCCTCCACCTGGTGGCCTGCGGTGCGCTTCTCCGGCCGCTCTCCCTGACCGAGGACCCTGCCGTGGGTGGCCCCAGGGCCCAGCTCACCTCCCTCCTCCGTCATGGCCCCTTCCTCCGTTACACTGTGGCCCTCACCCTGATCAACACTGGCTACTTCATCCCCTACGTGCACCTGATGGCCCACCTCCAGGACCTGGGTTGGGAGCCGCTGTCTGCTGCCTTCCTCCTCTCGGTGGTAGCTATCTCCGACCTCGTGGGACGTGTGGCTTCTGGCTGGCTAGGGGACACAGTCCCGGGACCTGTGGCTCGACTCCTGATGCTTTGGACCACCCTGACTGGGGTCTCGCTGGCCCTGTTCCCCGTAGCTCAGACCCCCACGGCCCTGATGGTTCTGGCCGTGGCCTATGGCTTCACATCGGGGGCCCTGACCCCCGTGGCCTTCTCGGTGTTGCCTGAACTGGTGGGGACTGGAAGGATATACTGTGGCCTGGGACTGGTGCAGATGGTGGAGAGCATCGGGGGGCTGCTGGGGGCCCCTCTGTCAGGTAAGGGGGACTGGGTTTCTGGGGGTGGGGCAGGGCTGCCATGTCATGGGATTCAGGGAGGGAACTTTTGTTGTGTTTGTGAGTATTGCCCTCCGGAATGGCACAGACCGTCTATGGCCATACCACCCTGAACCCACCCGGTCTTGTCTGATCTGGGAAGCTAAGCAGGGTCGGGCCTGGTTAGTACTTGGATGTAAGAGCACAGAACACAGACGGCATGGCCCACACAGTAGCCCCAGAGTGGGTCCATGGGGCAAAGAAATTGGGGACTGGGGGCAGATTAAGGGGAGCTATGAGGAGCCCTGGGCAGGGTGTCCACAGCCTGGGTTTTCAGAGGACCTGGCTGCACCTGGCCAGACACAGCCCGCCAGCGTCTACACTTTTCCTTGGCCTACTGGGCCCCAGTCCAGGTGTCTGAGCCGTCGGGTCAAAGTTCTCCATGCCCCAGATGCCAAAACCTTCAGACCCTTAAAGTTCTCCTCTTAACTATTAACTCAACGTGTAGAAGGGCCCCCGTTGCTTGAAAGAAAGGCCTGGGGGTGTCTGGCTCGATGCGGACACCCCGTCTCTGCCGGCTGGCTTGGAGGCCCCTTACGAAGGCAGGAAGGCGGTGGACGCCTTAGAAACCTCCAGGGCGCAGAGTTCTGGAGTGAACCCAGCCCTGCCTTGCTGAGTTCTGACTCTTCCGAGATGATGGGTTCAGGATTCTTTTCTTCCCTCCCCCCGTCTCGGGAAACTGGTCACCATGTGTGTTCTTTTTCTCTCTTGGATCTAGGCTACCTCCGAGATAGGACAGGCACCTACACGGCTTCTTTCGTGGTGGCCGGGGCCTTCCTTCTGGTAGGGAGTGGGCTTCTCATCACGCTGCCTCACGTCTCCTGCTTTTCGGCCTCTGCCTCCAAGCCCCAGGAGCCCAGGACGGAGGCCATGGATACCAAAGTGTCTCTGACCAAGGAGGCGCGGCAGGAGGCCTGACCTCTGCAAAGGGTGGTCAGACCCAGAAAGGGGTCTTCTGAGCCATCCTGGTGCCCACAGAACCACGGTGCCCAAGAACAAGGCCTCTTGACCCGCCTCCCCCCAGGCCAGTGAGTCACACGTGGCAGCCCTTTGAAGCACTTTGAGGACTCCTGGCTCTTCTTTGCTCCCACGCCCCGGATCCTGGAGCTCAGCCTGCTCCCCTGAGCTGTGAATCAGCCACGAACACCAAAGGCCACAATCTTAATGTGGCCTATATGTGATCTCTACGTTGCCTACCAGCTCTCTTCTCTGAAGACCGATGGTTGGGAAAGAGGGATGCCCTTCTGCGATATGCGTACAGGAGGGAAGTGGATAATAATCAGAACCTCAAAAAGAGCTGGGGCCCATGAGCTTGGGTTGGCTGAATGGGTTCACGGCTAGGAAGTGGGAGGGGGCCTGCTCTCCGCTCTCCGGGCCACGGATCCTCTCTCTTGTCCACTGACCTCCCCTTCACCAGTCTCCCCCCCCCCCCCCCCCCGCCCCCGCCCGGCCTCCGGACTCAGAAAAGAAAGGAAGACAGCAATGAGGACACAGGGTGGGGGGAGTTTGGGAGGGGCAGCTAAAGCTTAAAGAGCTAAAGTCTGGGTCTAGCATTTCCCACAGGGCTGTGGACGGAGCCAGAACTCCAGGAAGACAGCTGGGAGGGCTGGAGGAGGCAGATAGCTCCCTGGCAAGCTCCCCGCCCCCATCGCAGGGACAATGACCAGCAGCTTCTCAGAGGCTCCCTGTTAAAATGGCAACAGTCTGGAAGGAGACAGGTGGACTGGCTGGAGAGACAGAAAGACACCCCAGAGTTCAGTGGGATCCCGTTCCTATGAGCCAGCCTTCTAGAATATCTTATCTTCGGTAGAATGTTTTCAAGCGCCCTAGATTGGCTGCCGGCTGGAGTTTGCAGGAAACCGGATAGAAATTCTTTATTGGGGGAGTGGCTCAAACAAATCGTCAACAACTAGTGTCCCGAGTGGACTGAGGGCCCCCCGAGGAGAGCAGGGCGGCCGGAAGAACAGGGAGCAGTTCCCGGCTCTCGGGGGGAGGGGGGGCCGGCCCAGGGGCTGGACGCCAGGAGGGCAGCGCCCCGGGCAGCCCCATGTAGATGACGCTGCCACAGAGAATGAAAGAGCCGCAGGCGAGGAAGGAGGCGGTGAAGTCTCCCGTCTCGTCCCTTAGGAAGCCTGCGAGGAAGGGGAAAGGAATTTAGAGGCCGGGGACCCCGGGGGAGGGGAGGAGGCAGAGGTTGGGGTGCGAGCCGCTCAGCTCGCTCGGGCCCTTACCTGACAGGGGAGGGCCCAGAAGCCCCCCCAGACTCATCAGCATCATCACCAGCCCTGTGGCCTGTACGACACCTCCGACGCCCACGAGCCCGGGGAGCACGCCGAAAACCAGGGGGGCGTAGCTTCCGGCGCTCAGCCCGTAGGCCCCCGCCGCGGCCAGCAGGGCCCCCCAGCAGCCCTCCTGGCTCCCCGCCAAGGGCACCAGCCCCACGGCCAGCAGCCCCAGCCCGGTCAGAGCCGCGAACACCAACAGAAGCCGCGAGAGGGGCACCCAGCCCTGGTCCGCCAGCCAGCCGCTGATCAGCCGCGCGCCCGCGTCCCCCACCGCGGCCACGACCACCACCAGCGCCGCCCCGTACCCGCCCAGGCCCCGGTCTAAAGCGTGGGGGGCCAAGTGCACGTAGGGGACGAAGTAGCCGCCCCCGACCAGGGCTGTGCCCAGAGCAAACACTGAGAAGGCCCGGCGCGCGAAGAGACCCAGGCCGAGGGCAGCGAAGGGCCCGCGGGGTGGCGCCGGGGGGTCGCCAGGGAGCGCCAGGGGTCGCAGCAGGGCGCCGCAGGGGGCGAGGTGGAGGGTGACGGCGCCGAGGAGGAGCAGGGCGCCCCGCCAGCCGAAGGTGTCAAGGAGGAACTGCAGGCTGGGCGCCAGGAGCAGCGAGGAGGCGCCGTTGCCCGTGAGCGCCAGCCCCACGGCCAAGACTCGGCGGCGGGAAAAGTATCGCGACAGGGTCCCCAGGGCGGGGGCGAACACCAGGGCCCAGCCGGAGCCTGCGAGCGGACAGGACGGGGTGAGGACAGGGACCCGGGACGCTTTGCCGGGGCAATCCTAGCCCCGCCCCTCGCAGGACGCCCCGCCCCTGTGGCCTCCAGGCCCCCAAGAAGCGCCCATCTCTACCATCAATCACCCCTTAGGGACCCGGGTGTCCCTCTCCCCTCACCAGCAAGGATGCCCAGGCCAAGGTAGAGGTGCAGCAGACTGCCGGCGAAAGCGGAGAAGACGAAGCCCAGCGAGGTGAGGACGCCCCCAACCATCACCACCGGGCGCGCCCCCCAGCGGGTGCTCAGGGCGCTGCCCACTGGGCCTGGAAGGGGGCGGAGTCAACGGAAGACACGCCTCTGGACCCCCAAACTCTATCCCGCGCTCCTCCTTGGCTGCTTGCCAGGCCTAAAACGGCCCCCTCCCGGCCTAATAGCTCCCCCCCCCCGCCCTTGACCTCAAGACGAGACCCTCTGTTTTCTAGAACTCGTTCCCACCGGCCGCCCTGTCTCAGGCTGTCTGGTAATCAGACCGCGCGCACGCTCCGCCACCCCACCCGGGTCCCCGCCTCCCACCGGGGCCCCCCTCACTGGCTGCCTGCTGCACCGCCAGGGCCAGGGCGCTGACCCACGCGGTGTCCTGAGTGCTCCGGTCAAAGTGCTCCGCGAGGTCGGGGAGGGCAAGGCCCAGCGAGCGCAACAGCCCGTAGGAGAGCCCATTCACCGCGAAGGCCGCGGCCGCCACCGCCCAGCCCCAGCCCCCGTCGGGGGGGCCGGCAGGCTTGGGGGTCATCGCCGTCTGGGGAAGGGGGAACACACCGCGTCTACGCCTCCTCTAGGAGACCCGGGCATCCCTGAGATCCAGGTTCTGGCTGCTGGCCCGGGGTGGGCACGGCGCCCTGGGCACGACAGGGCGGGGCGGAGGGAGAGGGAGTTAGGCCCAGGGATCTAACCGGGACGGGGGGGACAGCCGGACCCCCAGGCCCGGGGCTCCCCCTCCCACGCCCACCCTCCCCCCTTACCCGACCTCTCCCGGCGGTGGGGGAAGGGGGAAGGGGAGGACGCCTCGGCCAGGCTTTCTGCCCGCTTCCTGGGCGGGCGGGGCTCCGGAGGGAGCGAGCGCCGAGACGCAGCCCCACCTGCACCGGCTCTCTCGGTAAACAGCTCCCCACCGGGGACCTGGGCCACCTGGGACGCAGGGGTGCGGAGCGGGGAGGGAGCTCACCGCCAGCCAATCGGCCGAGCCGCGGGGGCAGGACAGCCGCTGAGTCCCACGAGTATTGAATTCTATACACACGCCTTCATACACACACCTACACACACACGCACACACACACACACACACACACACACACACACACAGACCCCCCTCCCCACCGGGGAAGGGGGCGGGAAATATGAAGGCGGCCCTGACTGGTTCAAGCCCACGCACCTGCCCCCTGCTTCTGGAGGAGACTCCGGGATTGAAATCTGGGGCAAACCCAAGGTCTGTAGGCAACACGTGGAAATGGGGGTGACCCCCCAAGGCCGGAGGTGCTGTGCACTTTTGTTCTCAGGGAACATTGCTGGAGGACCAGGTAGTTCTCGCTATCAAATCACTGACCTCCACTGAGCGCTCATTCCTTGCTCAACAGTAACCGATCCTCAAGGCCCCGGGGGAGGAAGAGATTCCTTTACTACCTGTCGCTGTGATGGACCAGGCACTCCCTACCCCTGTCACCTGCACATGCTCACAGTAAACCTGTGAAGGTGTCGCGCCCAATTTACAGATGAAGCCGTTGAAGCTTAGAGAGGTTAGGTGCCTTTGCCCCAAGCAACGCAGCTGATGGAAATACTTGAATTCGGATCTGCCCAGCTGCAGACGGTAAATGGAGAACAGGCCTAGGACTGCGATAGAATGTGGCAGTGGAGGGGACGGCCTGGGGACATTGTGATGCCTGACTGGCCCGGAAATGGCAGACCTCTGCAGGGCCACAGAGTTCTTGATTCTAAGAAAAGGGTCCCTGGGAAGAGAAAGGACCCTTGGGATCAGACTCGCTCAAGATCCAGATTCGAATTTTAAAAAGAGTAAGAAATCTCAGAATTGCCCCCAGGTGTTGATTTCGTGGGGAACTTTATTTAAAAGTATCCTTTTTACACCAAGGTTCAGGTTACCATTGCTTTTACTTCAGGTATTGGAATCAAGAGATCTGTGAGGCGCCCGGCGGCTCAGTCGGTTGAGCATCCGACTGACTTTGGCTCAGGTCATGATCTCAATAGTTCCTGAGTTCGAGCCCCACGTCGGGTTCTGTGCTGACAGCTCAGAGCCTGGAGCCTGCTTGGGATTCTGTGTCCCCCTCTCTCTCTCTGCCCCTCCCCTGCTTGAGTTCTGTCTCTCAAAAATGAATACACGTTAAAAAAAAAAAATGAATCGGGGCACCTGGGTGGCTTAGTCGGTTAAGCGTCCAACTTTCGCTTAGGTCATGATCTCGCGGTTCGTGGGTTCGAGCCCCACGTCGAGTTCTGTGCTGACTGCCAGCTCGGAGCCTGGAGCGTGTTTCAGTCTGTGACTCCCTCTCTCTCTGACCCTCCCCTGCTCACGCTGTCTCTCTCTCTCTCTCTCTCTCTCTCTCCTAGAAATAAATAAAAATATTTTTTAAAAAAAAGAATCAAGAGATGTGTTCTTTGGTTTAATCATTGCACAATATCATAGAAAATGTGGCGATCTCTGGTTTGGAGCAGGCGTCACCCCAGAGCCACGTGGGGGCAGTGTTCCCTAATTGTTGAGATGGCGTCGCCAAATCGGAGGAAAACAACCACATTTCTCTACTCTGGGGATTAGGCCTTTAACAGTCCAAAGAAGACTCCCCCGCTCCCCTCTGTCCTGTGCCTTGCAGCCCTCAGCGCCTCACCTGCTCCACCGACGTGCCTGGCTTTTTCTCACCTGTGAATTTCGGCCCGTGTGATGCCATCTCCTTGCACCGACCTGTATGGGGAAGAGGAGCCCCTGAAGGCTTACCGCCCTGCCCCCCCTGCCCCTGCACCCTGGGAAAGTGGTCTCCTGCTTTCCCTCCCGGGCTGGGCTGCTGCTGCGGGAGGCGGAGCCTGAGCTAGCAGAGCCTCACTTCCTGGGTTGACGGGTTGACGGGCCGGGGCTTGGGGCAAGCAGTCCCCCCTCTGAAAAAAAGCCCGCACTGTGGGCTCAAAGAGGAGACCGGCACCCCTGGGCCTGGCGGTTGTACAAAGTGACCCTCAGCACCTTTACAGGCTCCCTGAGAACCTAGAGGGCATTCCAGGGCCTGGGACTGGGCCGGCCGACTGGTGGTGAAAGGGCACGGCCATCTTCCATCTACCTCGTGCTCCCTACATTCTTAGCCAAAATGACTGTCACTTTAGGTCTTTTGCTGACGGAGCTAACACAGCACGGGAGGTTGGGACAATGGACCCCAAGCCGGACTTTCTGGGTTTGACTCGCGGCTCAGCCACTTATCAGCCGTGTGATGGTGAGCAGGTTACGCATCTTCCCTGTGCCTCGGTTCCCCTCTCTCTAAAATGGGGATAATATATGTGGCTACGTGGTAGTGTTGGTATGGGATTAAAGGAGTTGCTGTGCATACACACGTGTGAGTACAAGACTGGAGCAGTGTTGGTGCCTGTTGCTGCTATTGCTGGGGGACCCTGGCTGGACCCCACAGGACCCTGCCCTGTCCCTGCCTGGCTACTTCTATTAATGCCTCGATGGCAAAGAACCACATTGGTCTGGCAATGAGCTCTCAGTACAGCTACATGGGTTTTAAGATGTGAATGGGGACAAGGGCACCTGGGTGGTTCAGTCGGTTAAGTGTCCGACTTCGGCTCAGGGCATGATCTCACGGTTTCTGAGTTCGAACCCCGCGTCGGGCTCTGTGCTGACGGCTCAGAGCCTGGAGCTGCTTCAGATACTGTGTGTGTCTTTCTCTCTGCCCCTCCCCCACTTGTGTTCTGACTCTGTCTCTGTCAAAAATAAACATAAAAAGGGGCGCCTGGGTGGCTTAGTCGGTTGAGCGTCCGACTTTCGCTTAGGTCATGATCTCACGGTTCGTGGGTTCGAGCCCCGCGTCGGGCTCTGTGCTGACGGCTCAGAGCCTGGAGCTGCTTCAGATACTGTGTGTGTCTTTCTCTCTGCCCCTCCCCCACTTGTGTTCTGACTCTGTCTCTGTCAAAAATAAACATAAAAAGGGGCGCCTGGGTGGCTTAGTCGGTTGAGCGTCCGACTTTCGCTTAGGTCATGATCTCACGGTTCGTGGGTTCGAGCCCCGCGTCGGGCTCTGTGCTGACGGCTCAGAGCCTGGAGCTGCTTCATATACTGTGTGTGTCTTTCTCTCTGCCCCTCCCCCACTTGTGTTCTGACTCTGTCTCTGTCAAAAATAAACATAAAAAGGGGCGCCTGGGTGGCTTAGTCGGTTGAGCGTCCGACTTTCGCTTAGGTCATGATCTCACGGTTCGTGGGTTCGAGCCCCGCGTCGGGCTCTGTGCTGACTGCCAGCTCGGAGCCTGGAGCCTGTTTCAGAGTCTGTGACTCCCTCTCTCTCTGACCCTCCCCTGCTCATGCTGTCTCTCTCTCTCTCTCTCCTAGAAATAAATAAAAAACACTTAAAAAATAAATAAACATAAAAAGAAATAATTAAAAAAGATGTGAATGGGAACAAAGAGGTCACATGCATTTTTTTCCCTTTATGGTGAGTGGCTTTCTCAGCATGTCCCAAAGTTTATGAGAAAATGCTCGCCTCCCTATCTTGATGCTAGAAACAAAAAATAAAGGTGTCAAAGTAAGTTTTGTTTGTTCGCTCCTTTGTACAAAATATTTCTAGATACCTTCCATGCCAGACGCTATGCTGAGGGGTACAGATAGGAATGTTACCGTCGCTCCCTTCCCAGCCCCCACAGTCAAATTAGGGAACAGGTGAGATACAGAGAGCTCAACACAGAGAGAGGGACACACACACCGCAGAGTGCTGCATGGAAGGAACTGACCCATTCCGCTCGGGTCTGCTGCTGGGAAGGCTTCACAGAAGAGGAGCCATTGAAGCTGGGTCTTGAAGGATGAGTAGGAGTTTGCCAGATGGTTGCCGTGGGCAGGGGCGTTCCAGGCAAAGGGAGCGGCTTGTGGAAAATCACCAATGCCCGAACCAGCCTGGCATATTATTTTATAAGTGTATTCTTTTTTTTTTTTTAACGTTTTATTTATTTCTAGGAGAGAGAGAGAGAGAGACAGCGCGAGCAGGGGAGGGCCAGAGAGAGAGGGAGCCACAGACCGAAACAGGCTCCAGGCTCCGAGCTGGCAGTCAGCACAGAGCCCGACGCGGGGCTCGAACCCACGAACCGCGAGATCATGACCTAAGCGAAAGTCAGACGCTTAACCGACTAAGCCACCCAGGCGCCCCTGTTTCCCTCTTTTTTTTAAATTTTTTTACATTTATTTATTTTTGCGAGAGAGAGAGTGAGACAGAGTGTGACCCAGGAGGGTCAGAGAGAGACAGAGACACAGAATCTGAAGCAGGCTCCAGGCTCCAAGCTGTCAGCCCAGAGCCCAATGTGGGGCTCAAACCCACAAATCGTGAGATCATGACCTGAGCCGAAGTCGGACACTTTGCCGACTGAGCCCCCCAGGCTCCCCAATTTTTATTTAAGTCATCTCTATGCCCAACATGGGACTTGAACTCACCACTTTGAGATCAAGAGTCGCACGCTCTGCACACTGAGCTAGCCCAGTGCCCCCTCTGCTTCATAATCTTCGATGCATATTTTCACAGGAAAATAATGCTTTCAGTGACGAAGCAAATTATTTAAGTTTTTCTCCACTGACGGTGCAGCCAGGCCCCTGGGGACAGTCAGGCCCCAACCCCAGCCACTGCTAATCTGCAATGGGTGCCTCCCCTGCCTACTCAACCCCCATGGAATCTTCTGGGCCCAGAGGAACAGCATCATTTTTTTCTTCTGCTCTTCAGCCCCACGTTGCCTGGGCGGCAGGACTGGTACTACTAATCTCTGGGTCTTTAGCACCAAGGGCCAAGGTGACAACCCACTGAGAGAAAACGAGCAAAGGCTTCACTCGGCTGAGCAGACACAGGACTGGGTGCCCCACGGGGGGTGGGGGGTGGGGAGGGGCACCATCATAAGCAGTGGCTGCGATGGACGGAACTGCTGGTGCCTGCCCACGTGGAGAAAGCCCCAGAAGCAGACGCTGAGCCAGGTCAGGTCTTTAACGGAGATCAAAAGAGCTGGTCAAAGTCTGTGAATAATTTGAGATCTGGGGTCTGGCTGCAAACTCTGAAACGGCTCTGGGGCTTTCTCAAGGGAGCGTCTGCGGGAGGTTCTTGGGGGTCCCAGCGGTCTGAAACTTCAGGAAGGCCTGAGCTGGGCCCGGCCATTCCCTGGGTCCACATGCTGGTGGCAGAGTGGGGGTGGGGGCTCCTTCTGGGAAGGGGGGTGGGAGGGAAGGGGACAGGTGAGGAAACAGGGCTCCACAGTGAGGCATGCAAAAACCCGAGGCTTCCCAGAGTTTGGCCCAGCTGACCTTGGGCTTCCTCGTGCCTAATAAAGCTGCCTCTTGGGGCACCTGGGTTGCCCAGTAGGTTAAGCGTCCGAC